CCGGTCCCTTTCCCACCCCCCCCCCTCCCCCCAAAACCCGGGCCCCCCTTTCCTCCCTCTCTCCCCCCAAACAGGGCCCCTTTTCCCCCCTTTGGTTTTCCCCCTTTTGGGAAAATTTCCGTAAAGGTTTTTTCCCAAAAAACCCCCCCAAACCACTTTCCCCCCCTTTCCCCCATCTCTTCCCTCCAACGGGGTACCTCCCCTTTTCCCCCCATCTTCCCCTTTTCCCCCCACCCCTCCATCCCTTTTTCCTCCCCTTTTTTCTCCCCCCCAAACAAAATGCCTCCTTTTCCCCCCATCTTCCCTCCCAAAATTCCTCCTTTCCTCCCCCTCTCCCCCCAAAAAAAATTTTTCCCTCCCTTTCCTCCCCTCTCTCCCTCCAAAAGCTACCCCCCTTTCCTCCCCCTTTTTCCCTCCCAAAGCTACCTCCCTTTCCTCCCCATCTCTCCCTCCACGCTACCCGCCTTTCCACCCATTTTCCCCTTTTTCCCCCCAAACTCTCCCTCCCCAAAAACTGCCTTCCCTTTTCCCCCCCCATTTTCCCCACCCAAACCCCCCCGCCTTTCCTCCCATCTCTCCCTCCAACGCTACCTCCCTTTCCACCCTTTTTCCATCCAACCCTGCCCCTTTTTTTCCTCCCATCTCTCCCTCCAACAAAAAAGTCTTTCCCCTTTTTTCCCCCCTTTTCTTTTTCCCCCTTTTCCCCCTTTTCCCACCCCCTACCTAAAACTGGCCCTCCCTTTTCCTCCCCTTCTCCCCCCCCAAAACTGCCCCCCTTTTCCCCCCAAAATTTTCCCCCCCCCAAAAACCCCCCCCCCTTTTTCCCCCATCTCTCCCTTTCCCAAAACCCAACCCTCCTTTTTCCACCCATCCTCCCCCCAACGTTTCCCCCTTGCCTCCCATCTCCCCCCTCCCAAAGCTTACCTTTCCCTTTTTCCCCCCATCTCTCCCCTTTTCCCCCCATCTCTTCCCTCCAAACGGGTTTCCTCCCTTTTCCCCCCATCTCTCCCTCCCAAGCACCTCCCTTTTCCCCCCATCTTTTCCCCTAAAGCTAAACCCCCCTTCCCCCCCCTCCTCCCTTTTTCCCCCCCCCTTACCCACCCCCCTTTTTCCAAACCCCTCTCTCCCCCCCCTTTTCCCCCCATCTCTTTCCCCCAACCCTGCCTCCCTTTCCCCCATTCTCCCTCCAACCCTGCCTCCCCTTTCCCCCATCTCTCCCTCCAAAAACCCTTTCTCCCCCTTTTCCCCCCAATTTTCTCCCCTTTCCCAAAGCAAACCTTTCCCTTTTTTCCCCTCTCTCCCCCAAACAATCCTCCCTTTCAAACCCCTTTCCCTCCCATCTTTCACTCCAACCCTGCCTTTCCCCTTTTCCCCCCATCTCTCCCTCCAAACTGGCCCTCCCTTTCCACCCATTTTTCTCCCTCCAACCCCCACCTTTCCCTTTCCTCCCCTCTTCCCCCCTCCACACTGCCTCCCTTTTCCCCCCACTCTCCGTCCAACCCGGGCCCCTTTCCACCAATTCTCGCCCCCCCCAACAAAGCCTCCCCCTTTCCCCCCATCTCTTTCCCCCCAAACCCCGCCTCCCTTTCCTCCCAAACTCTCCCCCCAAACACTGGGGCCCCCCCCTTTCCCCAAACCTCCCCCCCCTCCCATTCTCCTCCCCAAAGCGGGCCCCACTTTCCCCCATTTTCTCCTCCCCAAAAGGGCCCCCCATCTCTCCCCCAACACGGGGCCCCCCTTTCCCCCCTTCCCCTTTTTCCCCTCCACCCCACCTTTTCCCCCAACCCACCCCCCCCCCCAAGCTGCCTCCCCTTTCCCCCCATCTCTCCCTTTCCCCCCCTCCTCCCGCCAAACCCTCTCTCCCCCAAAGCTGCCCCCCCCCTTTCCTCCCCCCCTCCCTTTCCCAAAGCTGCCCCCCTTTTCCCCCCTTTTTCTCCCCCCCCCTGGGCCCCCCTTTCCCCCCTCTCTCCCCCCCAAATCCCCGGTTTTTCCTTTTCCACCCCAGCCTCCCCCCAAACGCTTTCCTCCCCTTTTCCCCCAAACCTTTTCCCCCTTTTCCCCCCATTTCTCCCTCCAACCCATTAAAACCCTCCAAAGCTGCCCTTTCCCCTTTCCCCCCCCCCTTTCTCCCTCCAAGCTGCCCCCCCCTTTCCAACCCCTTTTCCTCCCTCCAAAACCCTTGGGGCCCCCCATCTCTCCCTCCAACCCCACCCCCTTTTCCCCCCCATCTCTCCCCTAAAAGGGTGCCTTCCCTTCCCCCATTCCCCTCCAACCCACCCTCCCTTAAACCCCCCCTCCCCCCTCCCAAAAGCTCCCCCACCCATTTCCCAAACCCTCTCCCCCCTCCAACAAAATGCCCCCTTTTTCCCCCCATCTCTCCCTTTCCCAAAGCTTTTCCTCCTTTTTTCCCTCCCATCTCTCCCTCCAACGCTGGGCCTCCCTTTCCCCCCCCAAACTCTCCCCTCCAAAGCTGCCCCCCGCCTCCCCCTTTTCCCCCCCTTTTCCCCCCATCTCTCCCCCCAACGCTGCCTCCCTTTCCCCCCAAGCTCCCCTCCAAACGCGGCCCCCCCTTTCCACCCACTCTCCCTCCAACCCCCCCCGCCCCTTTCCTCCCCTTTTCTCCCTCCAAACCTACCCCCCCTTTCCACCCATTTTTCTTTCCCCCCAACCGGGTGGGCCCCCTTTCCTTTCCCCTTTTTCCCCCCAACCCACCTCCCCAAATTTTATAAAGGGGGGGGATTCCCAAAAAAAACCAAAAAAAAGGGGGGGCCTTTCCCCTTTTCCAACCTCCCCCCTTTCCAAACCCCCCAACCCCGCCCTCCCTTTTCCCCCATCTCTCCCTCCAAAAGCTACCCTCCCCTTTTTCCCCCCAGCCCCCCTCCCCAACCCCGCCCCCCCTTTTTCCCCCCCCTTTTCTCCCCTCCAACGCACCTCCCTTTCCATCCATCTCTTCCCCCCAAACCCCCGCCTCCCTTTCCACCCATCTTCCCCCCAAACCCTGGGCCCCCCTTTTCCCCAACCCTCTCTCCCTTCCCCTTTTCCTTCCCCTCTCTCCCCCCAACCCTGGGGCCTCCCTTCCCCCCATCTCTCCCCTCAACGGGTACCCCCCTTTCCCCCCCATTTCCCTCCAAAAAGCTACCCTCCTTTCCACCCCGCTCTCCCTCCCCCAAAACCCCCATTCCCCTTTTTCCCCCTCTCTCCCTCCAACCCTGCTCCCTTTCCTCCCATTTTTCCCCCCTCCAACCCTCCCTTCCCCTCTCCCCTTTCCCAAAGCTTTCCTCACTTTCCCCCCATCTCTCCCTTTCCAAAAATGCCCCCCCAAACTTCCCTCCAAAAAATTTCCCCCCCTTTCCTCCCAACTCTCCCTCCAAACCCCCCCTCCCCCTTCCCCAATCTTCCCTTTCCAAAACCCTTCTCCCTCCAACCCATCTCCCCTCCCAACCCCCCTTGCCTCCCTTTCCTCCCATCTCTCCCTTTCCCCCCATTTTCTCCCTCCAACCCCTCTCTCCCCCAAAGCTGCCTCCCTTTCCCCCCATCTCCCCTCCAACGGGGCCCCACCCTTTCCACCCAACCTCCCTCCAACCCCCCTCCCTTTTTCCCCCCATTTTCCCCCCTTTTCCCCCCAACCCTAACCCCCCTTTCCCAAACCCCTCTCTCCCCTCCCCAAAGCTGGGGTCCCTTTCCAACCCCCTTTTCTTCCCCCAACCCACTCTCCCTCCAAAACTGCCCCCTTTTTCCCCCCCCATCTCTCCCCCCCAACCGCCTCCCTTTCCCCCCATTTCCCCCCCAAACCCCGCCTCCCATCTCTCCCCCCAAAAATACCTCCTTTCCCCCAACCCCCCCCTTCCCCTCCAACGCTTGGGCCCCCTTTCCTCCCAAACCTCCCTCCAAAACCTTCCTTTCCCTTTCCAAACCCTCTCTCCCCCACCTCCCCCCCCTTTCCACCCCTTCCCCCCTCCAACAATGCCCCCTTTTCCCCCCCATTTTCCCCCCTCCCAAAAACTGGCCCCCCCCCTTTCCCCCCCAATTTTTCTCCCTTCAACCCCGCCTCCCTTTCCTCCCCCTTTTCTCCTTTTCCCCCATTCTCCCTCCAACGTTTCCCTCCCTTTTCCCCCCATCTCTCCCTCCAAAAGCTCCTCCCCTTTTTCCCCCTTCTCCCTCCCAAACCCCGCTCCCCCTTTTTCCCCCCATTTTTTTCCCCTTTCCAAAAACCCACCTCTTTCCCCCAAACTTCCCCCCAACCTTTCCCCCCCCTTTTCCCCCCCATCTCTCCCTCCCAACCCTAACCCCCCTTTTTCCCCCCCATCTCTCCCCCAACCTCCCCTCCCTTTCCCCCCCATCTCTCCCTCCCAACCCTGCCCCCCCCTTTCCTCCCATTCTTCCCCCCAACCTGCCCCCCTTTCCCCCCATTCTCCCTCCAAAAGCGCCCCCCCCCTTTCCACCCATTTTTCTCCCCCCCAAGTGCCTTCCCTTTTTCCCCCCATCTCTCCCTCCAACGCCCACCTCCCCTTTTCCAACCCCCTCTCCCTTTCCCAAACCCGCCCCCCTTTCCACCCATTTTTCCCTCCAACGCCAACCCCCCCCTTTTTCCCCCTTCTCCCTCCAAACCCCGCTCCCCCCCCTTTCCTCCCATCTCTCCCTCCAACCCTGCCTCCCTTTCCACCCATCTCTCCCTCCAACGCTACCTCCCTTTCCACCCATCTCTCCCTCCAACGCTACCTCCCTTTCCACCCATCTCTCCCTCCAACGCTACCTCCCTTTCCACCCATCTCTCCCTCCAACGCTACCTCCTTTCCACCCAGCTCTCCCTCCAACGCTACCTCCCTTTCCACCCAGCTCTCCCGCCAACGCTACCTCCCTTTCCACCCATCTCTCCCTCCCTTTCCTCCCATCTCTCCCTCCAACGCTACCTCCCTTTCCTCCCATCTCTCCCTCCAACGCTGCCTCTCTGTTTGTCTGAGACAACATGCTACCAAATAACCACACATAACTATCCCCTACCAGGACTTGGGCTCTCCAAAGTGCAGGTAATTGATGCTGTAGAGGTCCATGTCTTCAGTGTGCCAGGAGAAGCTGGTCTTCCACATGCCAAAGTACAGGTAGGGTGTGTTAACCCCCTGGATAGAAACCCCACAGTCCTCTTCAATCACATCCAGGATGGAGTTGAGGTGGCCGATGTTCCACTCCTCTATACCCTGGAGAAGGGAGGGAGGAGGAGAGAGAGGGAATTAGAGGTCCTCTGTAGCTCAATTGGTAGAGCACGCTGCTTGTAACGCCAGGGTAGTGGGTTCGATCCCCGGGACCACCCATACGTAAAAATGTATGCGCACATGACTAAGTCGCTTTGGATAAAAGCGTCTGCTAAATGGCATATTATTATTATTATTATTATTAGAGGAAAGACGGAAGCGAGAGAGAGAAGATGGAAAGTAGCTAGATAGAGTTGAGGTGTCCGATGTTCCACTCCTCTATACTATACCCTGCACCAGGAGAGGACATGTTGAGATGATTAGAAAGCGATATACAGGGAGTGAAATTACAGTGATCACCATGATCAGTGATGAGAGAGAGAGAGAGGAGAGGAGAGAGGAGAGAGGAGGAAAGAAAGACGAAGTAGGAGAGAGAGAGAGAGAGGAGAGGAGGAGAGAGGGAGAGAGAGAGAGAAGTAGAGGAGAGAGGAGGAGGAGAGCGAGAGAGGAGAGGAAGAGGAGAGAGAGAGAGGAGGAGAGGAGAGAGAGGAGAGAGAGGAGAGAGAAGAGAGAGAGGAGAGAGAGACGGAAAAGGGTTTGAAAACAGATGAAGAGAGAGACTGATATTCTATGATTCCTGAGACATCTACCTCGTCATAGAGGCTCCCGGGGACGTCAGCTCCATATATGGGAGATACGAAGGTCACGTTCTTCCAGTACTTCCTCTCCAGGTCCTCATAGTTCAGGTAACGGGGAGTACAGTATCTGGAGAGAGAAAATAGCAACATAAAAACTTAAATGTGAACGGGGACAGCGATCTTTTAGAATGATAAAAGGCATCATGTCGGCACATAAACTTCTAAGTACATTACATTCTAGACTGTAAAGAATCTAAATGAGTTGAATAGACTACCCCTCTGCTCTATAGACTACCCCTCTGTTCTATAGACTACCCCCTCTGCTCTATAGACTACCCCTCTGCTCTATAGACTACCCCTCTGTTCTATAGACTACCCCTCTGTGCTATAGACTACCCCTCTGTTCTATAGGACTACCCCTCTGTTCTAATAGACTACCCTCTGTGCTATAGACTACCCCTCTGTGCTATAGACTACCCTCTTGTGCTATAGACTACCCCTCTGTGCTATAGACTACCCCTTGCTCTATAGACTAACCCCTCTGTTCTATAGACTACCCTCTGTTCTATAGACTACCCCTCTGCTCTATAGACTACCCCTCTGCTCTATAGACTACCCCTCTGCGCTATAGACTACCCCTCTGTGCTATAGACTACCCCTCTGTGCTATAGACTACCCCTCTGTGCTATAGACTACCCCTCTGTGCTATAGACTACCCCTCTGCTCTATAGACTACCCCTCTGTTCTATAGACTACCCCTCTGCTCTATAGACTACCCCTCTGCTCTATAGACTACCCCTCTGCTCTATAGACTACCCCTCTGCTCTATAGACTACCCCTCTGCTCTATAGACTACCCCCTCTGCTCTATAGACTACCCCCTCTGCTCTATAGACTACCCCTCTGCGCTATAGACTACCCCTCTGCGCTATAGACTACCCCTCTGCGCTATAGACTACCCCTCTGTTCTATAGACCACCCCTCTGTTCTATAGACTACCCCTCTGTTCTATAGACTACCCCTCTGTGCTATAGACTACCCCTCTGTGCTATAGACTACCCCTCTGTGCTATAGACTACCCCTCTGTGCTATAGACTACCCCTCTGTGCTATAGACTACCCCCTCTGCTCTATAGACTACCCCTCTGCGCTATAGACTACCCCTCTGCGCTATAGACTACCCCTCTGCTCTATAGACTACCCCTCTGTGCTATAGACTACCCCTCTGTGCTATAGACTACCCCTATGTTCTATAGACTACCCCTATGTTCTATAGACTACCCCTCTGTTCTATAGACTACCCAGACAGACAACAGGTGAAACTATAGATCTGTTCTATAGACTACCCAGACAGACAACAGGTGAAACCATAGATCTGTTCTATAGACTACCCAGACAGACAACAGGTGAAACCATAGATCTGTTCTATAGACTACCCAGACAGACAACAGGTGAAACTATAGATCTGTTCTATAGACTACCCAGACAGACAACAGGTGAAACTATAGATCTGTTCTATAGACTACCCCTCTGTTCTATAGACTACCCAGACAGACAACAGGTGAAACTATAGATCTGTTCTATAGACTACCCAGACAGACAACAGGTGAAACCATAGATCTGTTCTATAGACCACCCCTCTGTTCTATAGACCACCCCTCTGTTCTATAGACCACCCCTCTGTTCTATAGACTACCCCTCTGTTCTATAGACCACCCCTCTGTTCTATAGACGACCCCTCTGTTCTATAGACTACCCAGACAGACAACAGGTGAAACTATAGATCTGTTCTATAGACTACCCAGACAGACAACAGGTGAAACCATAGATCTGTTCTATAGACTTACCAGACAGACAACAGGTGGAAACTATAGATTCTGTTTCTATAGACTACCCAGACAGACAACAGGTGAAACTATAGATCTGTTCTATAGACTACCCCAGACAGACAACAGGTGAAAAACTATAGATCTGTTCTATAGACTACCCAGACAGACAACAGGTGAAACTATAGATCTGTTCTATAGACTACCCAGACAGACAACAGGTGAAACTATAGATCTGTTCTATAGACTACCCAGACAGACAACAGGTGAAACCATAGATCTGTTCTATAGACTACCCAGACAGACAACAGGTGAAACCATAGATCTGTTCTATAGACTACCCAGACAGACAACAGGTGAAACTATAGATCTGTTCTATAGACTACCCAGACAGACAACAGGTGAAACTATAGATCTGTTCTATAGACTACCCCTCTGTTCTATAGACTACCCCTCTGTTCTATAGACCACCCCTCTGTTCTATAGACTACCCAGACAGACAACAGGTGAAACTATAGATCTGTTCTATAGACTAACCCAGACAGACAACAGGTTGAAAACCATAGATTGTTTCTATAGACTACCCAGACAGACAACAGGTGAAACCATAGATATGTTCTATAGACTACCCAGACCAGAAACAGGTGAAACCATAGATCTGTTCTATAGACTACCCAGACAGACAACAGGTGAAACTATAGATCTGTTCTATAGACTACCAGACAGACAACAGGTGAAACTATAGATCTGTTCTATAGACCACCCCTCTGTTCTATAGACTACCCAACAGACAACAGGTGAAACTATAGATCTGTTCATAGACTACCCAGACAGACAACAGGTGAAACTATAGATCTGTTCTATAGACTACCCAGACAGGACAACAGGTGAAACTTAGATCTGTTCTATAGACTACCCCTCTGTTCTATAGACTACCCAGACGACAACAGGTGAAACTATAGATCTTTCTATAGACTACCCAGACAGACAACAGGTGAAACCATAGATCTGTTTCCTATAGACTACCCAGACAGACACACAGGTGAAACTATAGATCTGTTCTATAGACTACCAGACAGACAACAGGTGGAAACCATAGATCTGTTCTATAGACTACCCAGACAGACAACAGTGAAACTATAGATCTGTTTCTTTGCCGGTGAAACTATGATCTTCTAGACTACCCAGACAGACAACAGGTGAAACTATAGATCTGTTCTATAGACTACCCAGACAGACAACAGGTGAAACCATAGGGTTTCAGACATGAAAAGGATCTTGATTTCTCAGACTGACTTGTCGCTGTTGTTTGTTTGTCTGTTTGTTTACTGTGCTTCTGTCTTTGTCGTGTGTGTGTGCGTGTGCGTGTGCGTGTGTAGTTACTGACTTGTCACTGTTGGCGAGGCGTCTGAACTCCTTAACGCTGAGGGGTTTCTTCTGGATGTTGTACTGAGTGAACAGGCCTGATTGACCAGCAACCATCTGCTGTATAGGAGCATGGATCACCAGGTCATCAATATCATCATAGCTACACCGAGGACGCCACAACCTTAGAGTAAATGACCTGAGACAGGTAGAGGAGAGAAGGGGGGGGGGTTTTATCACTGGAGACAGGTAGAGAGAGAGGGGGGGTTATCACCTGGAAGACAGGTAAGGGAGAGAGGGGGTTATCCACCTGGAGACAGGTAGAGGAGAGAGGGGGGGTTATCACCCGGAGACAGGTAGAGGAGGGGGGGGGTTATCACCTGGAACAGGGTTGAGGAGGTGTGGGGGGGTTTCACCTGGAGACAGGTAGAGAGAGGGGGGGGGGGGGGGTTTTCCCTGGAGACAGGTTAGAGGAGGGGGGGGGGGGGGTTATCACCTGGAGACAGGTAGAGAGAGGGGGGGGGGGTTATCACCTGGAGACAGGTAGAGGAGAGGGGGGGGGGGGTTATCACCTGGAGACAGGTAGAGGAGAGAGGGGGGGTTATCACCCGGAGACAGGTAGAGGAGACAGGGGGGGTTATCACCTGAGACAGGTTTGAGGAGGGGGGGGGGGTTATCACCTGGAACAGGTAAGGAAGAGGGGGGGGGGGTTAATCACCTGGAGACCGGTAATGAGAGGGGGGGTTTATCACCCGGAGACAGGTTGATGAGAGGGGGGGGGGGGGGTTTATTTACCTGGAGACGTTAAGAGAGAGGGGGGTTATCACCTGGAGACAGTTTGAGGAGGGGTTGGGTGGGTTATCACCTGGAGACAGGTAGAGGAGAGGGGGGGGGGGGTTATCACCTGGAGACAGGTAGGGGAGAGGGGGGGGGGTTTTTATCACCTGGAGACAGGTAAGGAGAGGGGGGGGTTATCAACCCGAGACAGGTAATGAGAGGGGGGGGGGTTATTACCTGGAGACAGTTAGAGGATAGAGGGGGGGGTTATTCACCACCTGAGACAGGTTGAGGAGAGGGGGGGGGGGGGGGGGTTATCACCTGGAGACGGTAGAGGGAGGGGGGGGGGGGGTTATCACCTGGAGACAGGTAGAGGAGAGGGTGGGGGGGGGGGGTGGGTTTCTCACCTGGAGACAGGTAGAGAGGAGGGGGGGTGATCACCCGGATACAGGTGAGGAAGGGGGGGGGGGGGGGGGTTATTACTGTAGACAGGTAGAGGAGAGAGGGGGGTTATCACCTGGAGACAGGTAGAGGAGAGTGGGGGGGGGTTATTACCTGGAGACATAAGAGGAGAGAGGGGTGGTTATTACCTGAGACGGTAGAAGGAGAGGGTTATCACCCGGAGACAGGTAAGGAAGAGGGGGGGGTTATTCCCCTTGAGACAGGTATAGGAGAAGGGGGGTTATCACCTGGAACAGGTAGAGGAGAGAGGGGGGTTATCACCTGGAGACAGGTTAGAAGGAGAGAGGGGGGGTTTATCACCTGGAACAGGTAGAGGAGAGAGGGGGGGGTTATCACCCACCGAGACAGGTAAGGAGAGGGGGGGTTATCACCTGGAGACAGTTTTTGAGGAGGGGTTGGGGGGTTATCCACACCTGGAGACAGGTAGAGGGAGCGGAGGGGGGGGGGTTAGTACCCGGGAGACAGGTAGAGTAGAGGGGGGGGTTTTATCACCTGGAATACAGTGAGGAGAGGGGGGGGGGTTATCACCTGGAGACATTTATAGGATGTCAGAGGGGGGTGGTTAATCACCTGTATACAGGTAGATTAGAGGGGTGTTATCACCCGGAGGACAGTTGAGGGAGAGAGGGGGGGTTATCACCTGGAGACAGGTTTTGAGAAGGGTGGGGGGTTATCACCTGAGACAGTTAGAGGAGAGGGGGGGGGGTTTTTAATCAACCTGGAGACAGGTAGAGGAGAGGGGGGTTATCACCCTAGACAGGTAGAGTGAGAGAGGGGGGTTATTACCTGAGACAGGTAGAGGAGAGAGGGGGGTTATCACCTGGAGACAGTAGAGGAGAGAGGGGGTGTATCACTGGAGACAGGTAGAGGAAAGAGAGGGGGGGTTTATCACCTGGAGACAGGTAAGGAGAGAGGGGGGTTTATCACCTGAGACATGTAGATGATGAGGGGGGGTTTATCACCCGGGACAGTTAGAGTAGAGGGGGGGGTTATCAACCGGAGACAGGTTGAGGAGGGGTGGGGGGTTTATCACCTTGGAGACAGGTAGAGGAGAAGGGGGGGGGGGTTATACCTGGAACAGGTAGAGGAGGGGGGGGAGGGGGGGTTATTCACCTGGAGACAGGTAGAAGGAGATGGGGGTGGGGTTCTCACCCTGGAGACAGGTAGAGGAGAGGGGGGGGGGGGGGGGGGTTATACCTGGAGACAGGTAGAGGAGAGAGGGGGGGTTATCACCTGGGACAGTTTGAGGAGGGTTGGGGGGTTATCACCTGGAGACATGTAGAGGAGAGGGGGGGGGGGGGGGTTTTTAATTTTTTATCACCCTGAGACAGGTGAGGAGAGGGGGGGTTATCACCCGGAGAACCAGGTAGAGAGAGGGGGGGTTATCACCCGTAGACAGGTAGAGGAGAGGGGGGGGGGGAGTTATTCCTACCTGAGACAGGGTAGAGGAGACGAGGGGGGTTTATCACCTGGAGACAGGTTTGAGGATGGGTGGGGGGGTTATCACCTGGAGACCGGTAGAGCAGAGGGGGGGGGGGTTTTCACCTGGAGACATGTAGAGGAAGTGGGGGGGGGTTTCACTGGAGACAGGTAGAGGAGAGGGGGGGGTTATCACCCGGAGACAGGTAGAGGAGAGGGGGGGGGGGGGTTTTATTACCTGGAGACAGGTCAGAGGAGAGAGGGGGGTTTATCACCTGGAGACAGTTTTGAGGAGGGGTGGGGGGGTTATTCACTCCTGAGACAGGTTAGAGGAGAGGGGGGGGGGGGGTTTTATCACACCTGGAGACAGGTAGAAGATAGGGGGGGGGGGGTTATCACCTGGAGACAGTATAGGAGAGGGGGGGGGGTTATCACCGGAGACAGTAGAGGAGAGGGGGGGTTATCATCCCGGAGACGTAGAGGAGAGGGGGGGGGGGGGGGGGGGTTTATTACCTGGATACAACAGGTGAGGAGAGAGGGGGGTTATCACCTTGAGACAGGTAGAGGGAGGGGGGGGGGGTTATTACCGGAACAGGTATAGTCGAGAGAGGGTGGGGGGGGGTTATTACCTGAGACAGGTAGGGAGAGAGGGGGTTATTACCTGGAGACAGGTAAGGGAGAGAGGGGGGTTACACCGGAGACAGTTAGAGGAGAGAGGGGGGGTTATCACCTGGAGACAGTAGAGGAGATATGGGGGGTTATCACCGAAGTGATGGAGCCAGGTAGAGGAGAGAGGGGGGTTTTATTCCCATTCCTGGAGACAGGTAGAGGAGAGAGGGGGGGTTTATCACCTGGAGACAGGTTTGGAGGAGGGGTGGGGGGGTTTATCACCTGGAGACAGGTAAGAGCAGATAGGGGGGGGGGGGGGGTTATCACCTGAGACAGGAGAGGAGATGGGGGGGGTTTATCACCTGTAGCAGGTAGAGGAGAGGGGGGGGTTTATCACCCCGTAAGACGGTAGAGGAGAGGGGGGGTGGGGGTTTATTACCTGGAGACAGGTAGAGGAGAGAGGGGGGTTATCACCGTGGAGACGGTTTGAGGAGGGGTGGGGGGTTATCACCTGGAGCGGTAGAGGAGAGGGGGGGGGGGGGGGGTGTTTCTAATCACCTGGAGACAGGTAGAGGAGAAGGGGGGGGGGTGTTTATCACCTGGGACAGGTAGAGGAGGAAGGGGGGGATGTTATCACCTGGAGACAGGTAGAGGAGAGGGGGGGGTTATCACCCTGAGACGGTAGAGGAGAGGGGGGGGGGGGGGGGGGGGAGGGTATTTGTACCTGGGAGACAGGTAATGAGAGAGTGGGGGGTTATCACCTGGAGACAGGTCAGAGGAGAGGGGGGGGGGGGTATTACCTTGGACAGGTAGAGAGAGAGGGGGGGGGGGGGGTTATACCTGGAAGACAGTAAGGAGAGAGGGGGGTTATTACCTGAAGACAGGTAGAGAAGAGGGGGGGGTTATCACCTGGAGACAGGTAAGAGAGAGGGGGGTTATTCACCTGGAGACAGGTGAGGAGAAGAGGGGGGGTTTATCACCTGAGACCAGGTAGAGGAGAGAAGGGGGGGTTATTAACCTGGAGACAGGTAAAGAGGGAGAGGGGGGGTTTCAACCTGGGCGACAAGGTAGAGGAGAGAGTGGGGGTTTATCACCTGGAGACAGGTAGAGGAGAGAGGGGGGGTTTATCACCTGGAGAACCGGTAGGAGAGAGGGGGGTTATTACATGGGACAGTAGAGGAGAGGGTTATCAACCCGGAGACGGTAGAAGGAGAGAGGGGGGGGTTATTCCTGGAGACCAGGTAAGGAGAGAGGGGGGTTCTCAGGGCCTGGAGACAGGTAGAGGAGAGAGGGGGGGTTATCACCTGGAGACAGGTAGAGGAGAGAGGGGGGGTTCACCTGGAGACAGGTAGAGGAGAAGAGGGGTTATCACCGCGGAGACAGGTAGAGGAGAAGGGGGGGGTTTAGTCACCTGGAGACAGGTTTGAGGAGGGTGGGGGGGTTATCAATCACCTGGAGACAGGTAGAGGAGAGTGGGGGGGGGGGTTGATTACCTGGAGACAGGTAGAGGGAGAGGGGGGGGGGGGTTTATCACCTGGAGAACATGTAGAGGGAAAGGGGTGGGGGGGGGGGGGGGGGGGAGGGGGTGGGGGGTTTATCACCTTGAGACATTTATATGAGAAGGGGGGGGGGGTTTATCACCTGGAGACGTAGAGGAGAGGGGGGGGTTACACCCGAGACAGGTAGAGGGAGGGGGGGGGGGGGGTTATTATACCTGTAGACAGATTATAGTAGAGAGGGGGGTTATCACCTGGAGACACGGTTTGAGGAGGGGTGGGGGGGTTATCAATTTCACCTGGAGACAGGTAGAGGAGAAGGGGGGGGTTTATTACCTACCTGGAGACAGGTAGAGGAGAGGGGGGGGGGGGGGGGTTATCACCTGGAGACGTAAGGAGAGGAGGGGGGGGGGGGTTATCAAATCCCCGTGAGAAGGTAGAGGAGAGGGGGGGGGTTAATCACCTGGAGACAGGTAGAGGAGAGGGGGGGGTTATCACCCGGAGACAGGTAGAGGAGAGGGGGGGGGTTATTACCTGGAGACAGGTAGAGGAGAGGAGGGGGGGTTATCACCTGGACGACGGTAAGATTATAGGGGGGTGGGGGGTTGTTTTTTTTTTTCTTCCCTTTCTCCTTTTCTGTCTCTCTTTTTTTTTGGGGGTTATTATACCGGGAGACAGGTATAGGAGAGATGGGGGGGTTATTACCTGGAGACTGGTAGAGGAGAGAGACTGATAATCCCCAAATTACACTCAGACTAGCACACACATAGGTTGTTCTCTCATCTTTCCCGATCAGACACACACCAAACACACTTCCAGTCCTACTCTCAGGCACACACTCCCCTCCCCACACACACACCTTGGCAAGGCCAGCCCGGTGCGCCCCCTGGGACTCCATGTAGGCCAGGTACTGGTTGAAGTCTCTGAATTCCCTCCATGGTGGGCCTGAAGGTCATGATCTTGCAGGAGGGGTTAACAGGGCCGTAGACCTCTGCCCCCGCCATCCTGCCTGGTTACACAGATGAAGCCTTGACAGAGGAAATAGCTCAGCCTTATTATAATGGTATTACAGTAATATGTTCTATTACCTAAGGGGGAAGCAGTAGAATAACATCCTAAGGAAGCAGGGCAGGAGGGGTTAACAGGGCTGTAGACCTCTGCCCCAGTCATCCTTGCCTCAACAAATTAAACCTGGACAGAGAAAAGTTATATATAATATAACAGTATATTATAACACAGGCTAGGGCCGTAGACTGCCGGACTAGACTGATTAAACCCGTAGACTGCCGGACTAGACTGATAAAACACAGGCTAGGGCCGTAGACTGCCGGACTAGACTGATAAAACACAGGCTAGGGCCGTAGACTGCCTGACTAGACTGATAAAACACAGGCTAGGGGCCGTAGACTGCCTCACTAGACTGATAAACACAGGCTAGGGGGCCGTTAGACTGCCTGACTAGACTGATAAAAACACAGGCTAGGGCCGTAGACTTTGCCGACTAGACTGATCAAACCAGGCTATGAGGGCCGTAGACTGCCAGACTAGACTGATAACACAGGCTAGGGGCCGTAGACTGCTGTACTCGAACTGTAAAACACGGAGGGGCCTAGATCTGTGGCTGCCGGACGTAGACTGATAAAACCAGGCTAGGGCCGTAGACTGCCAGACTAGACTGTAAAACACAGGCTAGGGCCGTAGACTGCCGGACTAGCTGTATAGAACACGGCTAGGGCCGTAGACTGCCGACTATACTATAAACACAGGGCAGGGCCGTAGAACTGCCGGACTAGACTGATACAACCAGGCTAGGGCCGTAGACTGGCTGAACTAGACTGACAAACACGGCTAGGGCCGTAGACTGCCTGACTAGACTGATAAAACACAGGCTAGGGCCGTAGACTGCCGGGACTATACTGATAAAACACAGGCTTAGGGCCGTAGACTTGGCATCCCCGCCGTAGACTGCCGGACTAGACTGATAAACACAGGCTAGGGCCGTAGACTGCCGGACTAGACTGATAAAACACAGGCTAGGGCCGTAGACTGCCGGACTAGACTGATAAAACACAGGCTAGGGCCGTAGACTGCCGGACTAGACTGATAAAACACAGGCTAGGGCCGTAGACTGCCGGACTAGACTGATAAAACACAGGCTAGGGCCGTAGACTGCCATCCCCCCGTAGACTGCCGGACTAGACTGATAAAACACAGGCTAGGGCCGTAGACTGCCGGACTAGACTGATAAAACACAGGCTAGGGCCGTAGACTGCCGGACTAGACTGATAAAACCTAGAGATACATAGAGATGCTAGATCATAGCTAGTCTACATACTAGGTGCAGTATTACAGTAGCACTATCTTACAGCACAGAAGTAACCAAGTATTTACTATGTAGTATTAAACTGGGTGGTTTGAGCCCTGAATGCTGATTGGCTGACAGCCGTGGTATATCAGACCGTATACCACAGGTATGACAAAACATGTATTTTTTCTGCTCTAATTACGCTGGTAACCAGTTTATAATAGCAGTAAGGCACCTCTGGGGTTTGTGGTATATGTCCACACCCCCTCTGGCCTTATTGCTTAATTACACAATAATGACCTATGTCTATTTATTTATGTGGTATTCATTTAAGCAATACTGCAGTCTACACTGTACAACATTGGGTGTTGTTCACAAACCCTGGTCCTGATCTGAGGAGCACCAGCCAAGGTGACAGGCTTCTCTTCCTTCTTCCAGCTCGCTAACACACACCTCTGATTCTACTAATTAACAAATCATCAATCCAATAAGCATTGATAAGCTAGTAGATTAGCTGAACTAAACCCAGTGTTGCAGACAGTGCAACACCAATAAGTCTCACTCCCAAATAGCACCCTATATAGTACACTACTTTTGACCAGGGCCCATAGTATGGGAGTATGGGCCCTGGTCAAAAGTAGTGCACTAAATAGGGTGCTCTTTGGGACGCAACCTAATCTGCCCATTCTCCCTAATGTAACCTTCAGTTTTGCTGTGTTATTCACAAGTTGACCACTGGGTGACGGTCATCTCCCACAAAGGAAATCGTGGTCGTCCAAAATATTCTGACAACCCCCTCTGCTAGTTACCACCAGCAGGGTTCCCATCGCCACGACTCTGGTTAAGTCCCGAATGGCACCCTATTCCCTACATAGTGCACTACTTTTGACCAGGGCTCACATCAAAAGTAGAGCACTATATAGGGAATAGGGTCCTATTTGGTACACTAGCTCTGAATTTACTTTGACAAAAGGAGACAAAGGACTAGACAGACAATAACAATTGGTTTCTTACAAAATAGTAGAAGCAAAAATGTACATTGAGGAATAGGCCACAATAAGGATATGTGGTTCAAATCATTCATATAGATCATCTAGCGAAGCAAAGCAATAACAATACAAAGTTACATTTTAATTCATTTGAATAAAATAGGTCTATGAATTATGTTGTTGCAGTTACAAAATAACGATATTGATAATGGTTGATATTTAAATGGTTAACTTTGCCATATAAATCTGGTCAACTATTTTCTGAAATCATTCAATGCACTTATTATATCTAGTAGCTAAATCCTTATAGCTAAAATCACTTGTGACAGTGCATTTATTTTTCAAGTTAAGTCCGAAGTGCAGTGGGGCTAATCTGATCTTTGTCCGTCTTTCGGTCTGAGCTAGCCTACGTTCAGTTGTGATAGCCAACAATGGCAGCTCAAAGGAGGCAGTTAGAATATTGATAACTACGACTGGTTGAATCAACCACTCCCTTTATTTAGTCATTGTCAGAATTCAAGATTGTTACAGTAGTCAAAATTGAGATAAATAATAAGAACTGGTTGCGGAGAGAAAATTGAAAACTAACTAGCTAGCTAGCCAGCTAAACTGGCCATCTGCACAATGCGCTTAGCAGAGGGGGTTTAAATCCCATCTTGAATGGATGCTAGCTAACAAGGCCCGCATTAGCTAGCAAGCTACTAGCTGACGAAATATACTGCACGAATTGAACTATTGAAAATATAATCAACCATGAATAGTCTGGCTGTTATCTAGACACATGCAGGAAGACATTTAACTAGTAGTATTGTGCATTGCAGTTTCACTGGTTTAACAAGCTAACAATAGATTAACAGTTAACTAGCTATTTGCTAGTAGAAGTTAGCACAACGTAAATACCAAATCAACGGGCTCAAGCTAGCCTCACCAGCTAATTGTCAGAGGTAACTATTAGCTAGTCAGTAATAAACATGGTAGAAGCAACATTCTGTGTTAGATGCGTAACGTAGAAGAAGCTCAAGCAGAGCTACTACATCTACAGCCAGTTAACAATATGCAATCATTTCTGAATCAATGCATGCATGAAGCGAAAACGAGGTGCTGTTGTTAGCCAGCGCGTGAGTTGGGCTAGGTAGCAACAGTAGCCAGTTACCTTAGCCAACTAGCTAGCCTAGCCAACCAGCCCAACCGCTACAAACTAGTTGACACTGAACGTTATAGACATTAATTAAACACGTATTATAGACAGCCTTTGTCAGGAAAATTGTACTGTACCTTTTTTGGGGTATGGAAAATATGGTTTCGTTGTATTGTTGTTAAATCCTTTCTTGCGCTGATCGCCCAGCTGTTTTCATATGACAGCTTGTCTACGGTGACTTCTTCTTGAGCCTTCTGCCAGGTCCATAAGTAGATTTCAGGCCAGTGGCGTAGTTTTCTGCCCCCTGTCGGCCAAATATGCACCTTCACTTCAACAAATGTGGGGAAAAAATAAGAAACATACCAAAATTAAGCATTTATTTTATTACAGGCCTATTTTGTAAAAAAAATTCATTCGGAAATTTGTATTTTTTCACTTTGGGGACAGATTTCGATTGATATTTTCTCCCTTCCTGTTTTCCTATTGTTTCAAGGTCTACACAGAATTTCACAGTTTATACATGTAAAGAATGAATAAGAATACGTGTGTGCAATATGAATGTCGCTAGCTATGTCTGTTATCATTGCATGGGGCTGTGTGTGAAGCAGGTGTTAAGACTAATTACAGTTAGCACTACCGACTTGGATATAATGAAAGGGGAGAGGCATCTATCGTTGGCAAAGCAGTGGCTGTATTCACTAGGAACCAAACGGACGCAAACGGACAGGAAAGGGGAGGGACGAACCTGAATTCGTCCAATAGGAAACTACTATTTTCGTTGCAAAATATTCACCGTTAAAACATTTTGCTACGATATGCATTAATGAATACACCCCAGTGTGAGCGAGAGAACGCAGATGACTTTCTATGAACATGGCCGCCCAAGATGAACTCAGTAAGTTTCTAACTGCTTTTGCAGTGATCCAGTGCATGAAAGACACGGCATGTATCGGTAACATTTATCCTTGCATTTAGTACACAGTCATAACTTATTCTATCAAGCAAAACGCGTGTGATATGAACGATAAACGTTGATTCGAGGTAGCTAGCTAACGCTAGTAGAAGGCCGTCTGCACAGTCATGGTCGAAATGAAAGTGTTGCAGTTGTATAAAAGATCAACGTGATTTGATGACGACTGGAATAGTTTGTACATTAGATCAGTCATTTCATTCCCATTTGTAACGATGTCATGTTCGATCTGTAACTACAATTAACTAAACGATTACATGCGTTGTGCCAACTTTGGGTAACCAAGTGGCTAGCTAGCTGGTTAGCAGTGCAGGCGTCCGGGACAATATGAACTGTCTTGAAGATTAGCCTTGTCTGTGAAGTTAGCTAATTAGCGCTAGTAGCTAGCTAATTCATTGCAAGCCAGCTAGCTAGGTATCTCATTTAGTGTAACAGTTTGCATACATGAAATGAAAGATGACACACACTTCATTTTCAGTGCAGTGAGTGAGTGTTGATGGCAAGCACACCTCTCACAACAAGGTAACGTTAACTAGCCATTTTGCCCTACCCACTGCAGCAGTTAGCTAGCTACATTTGAGATGATTTAGCTAACTGACTAACTAGCTACCTAGCCAAATCACCAGCTAGTTAGCTAGCTACTAATTTATGTCAGTCATTCCTTGCCAACTAGCTGCCAGTAGAAAACCTATACGTCCTGTCGGACATAGCTAATGGTTATGTGTAGCAGCCTATCCACCCCTGTTATAACACAATACAAGGTGCATTAGCTATTATAACAGTCCCTTATTGACGCTTTAGGTCCAAATGTTGTAGCTACATTTGAAATGTTTACATTTGAGTCATGTAGCAGACGCTCAGTCTTATCCAGAGTGACTTACAGTATTGAGCGCATACATTTTAGTAAACTGAGCCATACTGAACCAGCTACATGGACATCCACTCTCTGTGTGTATTCTGTACCTTATTTAGACAGGTGCGGAATTACAGGGGAGTACAGAGGTAGGAGGCGTAGTTTGAAATGTGGACACAGGGAGTGAACCCCGGTCTCCGGCGGGGAACATTTATATGTGCAATAGAGACCCAAGACCGGCACCGCTAGGCGAGAGGCTACATGTTCAACATTTAGTTCGGGTGACTGGGGATGTCCGAATCTCAGAACCAAATGTGGTAATATCACAGTAAGGACTGGTTTCCTGGAAACAGATCAAGCCCAGTCCCGATTAAGCCTAGACCTGGACTTAAAGCATGTGTCACGGGTGAGATCTGAACAGTGCACTACTTTTGACCGGAACCGTATGGAATCTGGTGAAAAGTAGTGCACTATAAAGGGGCTCTGGTCTAAAGTAGTGCACTATAAAGGGGCTCTGGTCTAAAGTAGTGCACTATAAAGGGGCTCTGGTCTAAAGTAGTGCACTATAAAGGGAATAGGGTGCCATTGGGGACGGGCCTAGTGTCATCATTTCTAATTTTCAAATCCTCCCTTTCCTTCCTCCTCTCTTCCTTTGTCCTCTTCTCTGCTCTTCCTCCTCTTCTCTCCTCCTCTTCTCTCCTTCTTTCCTCCTCTCTCCTCTTCTCTCCTCCTCTCTCCTCCTTCCTACTCTCCAGATCAACTGGAGCGAGTTTTCTTGCGTTTGGGCCATGCAGAGACAGATGACCAACTCCAGGACATCATATCCAAGTTCCTGCCCCCAGTCCTCCTCAAGCTGTCCAGCGTGCAGGAGGGAGTGAGGAAGAAAGTAAGGACCCACTGATGTCTGTTTCTTCCACCCTGCAGTACCAGTAGCCTGCACATAGCTGTGTCTCCGTTCTCCAGCACCCTTCTCACTTTTGTCGTCTGGATTTTACAATACTTACACTACCAGTCAAAAGTTTGGACACACCTACTCATTCAAGGGGTTTTCTTTAATTGTACAATTTTTTACATTGTAGAATAATAGTGAAGACATCAACACTATGAAATAACACATATGGAATCATGTAGTAACCAAAAAAGTGTTAAACAAATCAAAATATATTTTGTATTTGAGATTCTTCAAATAGCCACCCTTTGCCTTGATGACAGCTTTGCAAAGCTGCTTCATGAGGTAGTCACCTGGAATGCATTTCAATTAACAGGTGTCCTTCTTAAAAGTTAATTTGTGGAATTTATTTCCTTGTTAATGCGTTTGAGCCAATCAGTTGTGTTGTGACAAGGTGGGGGGGTATACAGAAGATAGCCCTATTTGGTAAAAGACCAAGTCCATATTTGGTCTTTGGGGTGGCAGGTAACTTAGTGGTTAAGAGCGTTGTGCCAGTAACCGAAAGGTCGCTGGTTCTAATCCCCGAGCCGACTAGGTGAAAAATCTGTCGATGTGCCCTTGAGCAAGGCACTTAACCCTAATTGCTCCTGTAAGTCGCTCTGGATAAGAGCGTCTGCTAAATGTAAAAAAAAAAATAATAATAATATTATGGCAAGAACAGCTCAAATAAGCAAAGAGAAACGACAGTCCATCTTTACTTTAAGATATGAAGGTCAGTAAATCCGGAACATTTCAAGAACTTTGAAAGTTTCTTCAAGTGCAGTTGCAAAGTCCATCAAGCGCTATGATGAAACTGGCTCTCATGAGGACCGCCACAGGAATGGAAGACCCAGAGCTACCTCTGCTGCAGAGGATAAGTTCATTAGAGTTACCAGCCTCAGAAATTGCAGGCCAAATAAATGCTTCACAGAGTTCAAGTAACAGACACATCTTAACATCAACTGTTCAGAGGGGACTGTGTGAATCAGGCCTTCATTGTCGAATTGTTGCAAATAAACCACTACTAAAGGACACCAATAAGAAGAAGAGACTTGCTTGGGCCAAGAAACACGAGCAATGGACATTAGTCTGCAGTCCAAATTTGAGATTTTTGGTTTCAACCACTATGTCTTTGTGAGACGCGGTGTGGGTGAACGGATGATCTCCGCATGTGCATTTCCCACCTTAAAGCATGGAGGAGGAGGTGTTATGGTGTGGGGGTGCTTTGCTGGTGACCCTGTCTGATTTATTTAGAATTTAAGGCACATTAACCAGCATGGCTACCACAGCATTCTGCAGCGATACGCCATCCCATCTGGTTTGGGCTTAGTGGGACTATCATTTGTTAATCAACAGGACAATGACCCAACACACCTCCAGGCTGTGTAAGGGCTATTTTACCAAGAAGGAGAGTGATGGAGTGCTGCATCAGATGACCTGCTGCATCAGATTACCTGGCCTCAACAATCCCCCGACCTCAACCCCATTGAGATGGTTTGGGATGAGTCGGACGGCAGAGTGAAGGAAAAGCAGCCAACCAGTGCTCAGCATATGTGGGAACTCCTTCAAGACTGTTGGAAAAGCATTCCAGGTGAAGCTGGTTGAGAGAATGCCAAGAGTGTGCAAAGCTGTCATCAAGGCAAAGGGTGGCTGCTATTTTGAAGAATCTCAAATATAAAATATATTTTGATTTGTTTAACACTTTTTTTGGGGTTACTACATGATTCCATATGTGTTATTTCATAGTTTTGATGTCTTCACTATTATTCTACAGTGTAAAAATAAAGAAAAACCCTTGAATGAGTAGGTGTGTCCAAACTTTTGACTGTGTACTCTACACCAATCCTATGCTTTTAAATCCATGACGGGGGAGTGTGCAAGGCTAATGCACACAGACACAGCTGCTCAATGCTATTGGGGAAAGGTCCATCCGCAGCACTGTGGTGATGTAAATGCTGCTCAATGCTATTGGGGAAAGGTCCATCCGCAGCACTGTGGTGATGTAAATGCTGCTCAATGCTATTGGGGAAAGGTCCATCCACAGCACTGTGGTGATGTAAATGCTGCTCAATGCTATTGGGGAAAGGCCCATCCACAGCACTGTGGTGATGTAAATGCTGCTCAATGCTATTGGGGAAAGGCCCATCCACAGCACTGTGGTGATGTAAATGCTGCTCAATGCTATTGGGGAAAGGCCCATCCACAGCACTGTGGTGATGTAAATGCTGCTCAATGCTATTGGGGAAAGGCCCATCCACAGCACTGGAGTGATGTAAATGCTGCTCAATGCTATTGGGGAAAGGCCCATCCACAGCAGTGGAGTGATGTAAATGCTGCTCAATGCTATTGGGGAAAGGCCCATCCACAGCACTGGAGTGATGTAAATGCTGCTCAATGCTATTGGGGAAAGGCCCATCCACAGCACTGGAGTGATGTAAATGCTGCTCAATGCTATTGGGGAAAGGCCCATCCACAGCACTGGAGTGATGTAAATGCTGCTCACTGCTATTGGGGAAAGGCCCATCCACAGCACTGGAGTGATTATAAAGCACACAACAGTTGAACTAGCAAGCCCAATAAACGTCTCCTCCATGCGTTGGTAGTGTGCGTGCTGCTGTAATGGCATTGACAGAAGCTGCTCTCCATAGAACACACAGACTGGTTGTAGACCTGCTAGTTTCGCTATGCGGTAGCTTTATGCTAGTACGCTATGCGGTAGCTTTATGCTAGTACGCTATGCGGTAGCTTTATGCTAGTACGCTATGCGGTAGCTTTATGCTAGTACGCTATGCGGTAGCTTTATGCTAGTACGCTATGCGTAGCTTTATGCTAGTACGCTATGCGGTAGCTTTATGCTAGTACGCTATGCGGTAGCTTTATGCTAGTACGCTATGCGGTAGCTTTATGCTAGTACGCTATGCGGTAGCTTTATGCTAGTACGCTATGCGGTAGCTTTATGCTAGTACGCTATGCGGTAGCTTTATGCTAGTACGCTATGCGGTAGCTTTATGCTAGTACGCTATGCGGTAGCTTTATGCTAGTACGCTATGCGGTAGCTTTATGCTAGTCATGAACCGTCTCTTCCTTAACGGTCTACTGGAATCACAATCTCTTCTTCTCTACCAGGTGACGGAGCTACTGGTGACTTATAATTACAACTTATTATAACTCATTATAATCGTAACCTCTTGTTCTCCCTACCAGGTGATGGAGCTCCTGGTCCACTGAACGAGAGGATGAAGAACCTTTATTATAACTAATTATAATCGTAACCTCTTGTTCTCCCTACCAGGTGATGGAGCTCCTGGTCCACTGAACGAGAGGATGAAGAACCTTTATTATAACTAATTATAATCGTAACCTCTTGTTCTCCCTACCAGGTGATGGAGCTCCTGGTCCACTGAACGAGAGGATGAAGAACCTTTATTATAACTAATTATAATCGTAACCTCTTGTTCTCCCTACCAGGTGATGGAGCTCCTGGTCCACTGAACGAGAGGATGAAGAACCTTTATTATAACTAATTATAATCGTAACCTCTTGTTCTCCCTACCAGGTGATGGAGCTCCTGGTCCACTGAACGAGAGGATGAAGAACCTTTATTATAACTCATTATAATCGTAACCTCTTGTTCTCCCTACCAGGTGATGGAGCTCCTGGTCCACTGAACGAGAGGATGAAGAACCTTTATTATAACTAATTTTAATCGTAACCTCTTGTTCTCCCTACCAGGTGATGGAGCTCCTGGTCCACTGAACGAGAGGATGAAGAACCTTTATTATAACTAATTATAATCGTAACCTCTTGTTCTCCCTACCAGGTGATGGAGCTCCTGGTCCACTGAACGAGAGGATGAAGAACCTTTATTATAACTAATTATAATCGTAACCTCTTGTTCTCCCTACCAGGTGATGGAGCTCCTGGTCCACTGAACGAGAGGATGAAGAACCTTTATTATAACTAATTATAATCGTAACCTCTTGTTCTCCCTACCAGGTGATGGAGCTCCTGGTCCACTGAACGAGAGGATGAAGAACCTTTATTATAACTAATTATAATCGTAACCTCTTGTTCTCCCTACCAGGTGATGGAGCTCCTGGTCCACTGAACGAGAGGATGAAGAACCTTTATTATAACTCATTATAATCGTAACCTCTTGTTCTCCCTACCAGGTGATGGAGCTCCTGGTCCACTGAACGAGAGGATGAAGAACCTTTATTATAACTAATTTTAATCGTAACCTCTTGTTCTCCCTACCAGGTGATGGAGCTCCTGGTCCACTGAACGAGAGGATGAAGAACCTTTATTATAACTCATTATAATCGTAACCTCTTGTTCTCCCTACCAGGTGATGGAGCTCCTGGTCCGCCTGAACGAGAGGATGAAGAACCTTTATTATAACTCATTATAATCGTAACCTCTTGTTCTCCCTACCAGGTGATGGAGCTCCTGGTCCACTGAACGAGAGGATGAAGAACCTTTATTATAACTCATTATAATCGTAACCTCTTGTTCTCCCTACCAGGTGATGGAGCTCCTGGTCCACTGAACGAGAGGATGAAGAACCTTTATTATAACTCATTATAATCGTAACCTCTTGTTCTCCCTACCAGGTGATGGAGCTCCTGGTCCACTGAACGAGAGGATGAAGAACCTTTATTATAACTCATTATAATCGTAACCTCTTGTTCTCCCTACCAGGTGATGGAGCTCCTGGTCCACTGAACGAGAGGATGAAGAACCTTTATTATAACTCATTATAATCGTAACCTCTTGTTCTCCCTACCAGGTGATGGAGCTCCTGGTCCACTGAACGAGAGGATGAAGAACCTTTATTATAACTCATTATAATCGTAACCTCTTGTTCTCCCTACCAGGTGATGGAGCTCCTGGTCCACCTGAACAAGAGGATTAAGAGCCGACCTTTGATCCAGCTACCCGTAGAGACTCTGCTGGTCCAGTACCAGGACCCTGCAGCGGCGTCCTTCGTTACGGTAACGCTCTACATTCTACCCCGGGGGGTGCGTTCAGCAGGACACAAAGTTGTGGAACGTTCAGATATATAAATATTTCGTTGTAGAACAAGCTTTGCCTCTCTCTCTGACGTGTAGAATAAGGACTGGCGACGACGTCGTCTCTGTTCATGATATTTCTATGGGCAGCGTTCCACAATGTTTGCCTGCTGAACGTGTCCTTGGTCTACTTCCTGGTTGGTTGCCCATCACTGATCTTTGGTCAGTTTTTAGCATTTCCTCTACTAGTGGTTAAGGTTGGGATTGGGGGGAGGGGAAGCTGATCCTAGACCTGTACCAAGGGGAGACTTCACCCCCGGACGCGGTTCAGCCGGATGAGGGTTGACCCACCCCCCGTCTGGGTCCGGTTCTGGTTCCTCTCAAGGTTTCTTCTGTCCTTGGTACTTTGCTACTGCTAGCTGCTGTTTGGGATGTGATTATCTTGTCAAATATGGAAATTCTATTGAAATGACATCTCTCAAACGGAGTAGGCCTATGTCCAAACTCTGTCGTCTGTGCCTCTGCTCGCCATGTTCTTTACTCCCCCTGACATTGTGAGATTTTTAAATCCAGAACGGTGGATTCTCTCTGCAGAATTTCACCATCATTTACATCAAGATGGGTTACCCTCGACTGGAGGTGGGGAAACAGTGTGAGCTGGCACCAACCCTGCTGACCGCTATGGAGGGCAAGCCTGAACCCCAACAGGACAGGTAAGGAGGGAGATACAGAGACACACACACACACACACGCGCTGTATGTACACACACACACTGTATACACACACACACACACACACACACACTGACTTCCTGTCCCCTCTCTCCCTAGCTTGATGCGCCTGCTGGTTGCTACTCTGTACCACATGAAGTACATTAACACACACACACTGTCTTCGTCTCCTCTACTCCCTCCAGCTTGATGCACCTCCTGATCCCGTCCTTGTACCACATGAAGTACCCAAAGGCCTCTTCCAACTCTTCCAAGATGGCCGCTCCCTTCATCCTGATAGAGAAACCTAAGACGGTTCAGCTGCTGCTGGAGTTCATGCTGGACGTACTGTTGATGCCCTACGGGTCAGTGGGGGGGTGATGCCCTATGGGTCAGTGGGGGGGTGATGCCCTATGGGTCAGTGTGTGGGTGATGCCCTATGGGTCAGTGTGTGTGTGTGTGTGTGTGTGTGTGATGCCCTATGGGTCAGTGTGTGTGTGTGTGATGACCTACGGGTCAGTGGGGAGACTAAGTTGCGTCTCCAAGGGCCCTGGTCTAAAGTAGTGCGCTATAGAGGGAATAGGGTGCCATTCTCTGGTCTAAAGTAGTGCACTATATAGGGAATAGGGTGCCATTCTCTGGTCTAAAGTAGTGCGCTATAGAGGGAATAGGGTGCCATTCTCTGGTCTAAAGTAGTGCGCTATATAGGGAATAGGGTGGCATTTGGGATGCAGCCTATGGGGGCCGGCCATTTTTAAGTGTTCAAGTGTGCTAGTATGCAAGGGTGGTTAACAGTTATTGTTAAAACTCTGTAACATACTATAAAACTTGCAAACACCATGCTCACTCAAGTCATAGTTTTTCGAAAGACGGCATTGAATTAATTAATACAGTCCTAAACAATTTACCGACAGTTTTGCCTTGTTGTTGACCTGCCCCTCCTCTCCTCTCCACCGCTCTCTCCTCTGGCCTCCAGGTTTGTCCTGAACGAGCCTCCCACTCGCCCAGCTCCCTCGTCCCCCCAGGGTAGCTCCGGGCCTGGGGCAGCAGCAGCCGGACAGGGCCTCCCCCAGCCTCCTCCAGGGATGAGCGTCTACGCTGCAAAGAGGGTCATCGGAGAGGCACAGTGGAGCCCAGAGCAGCTGGAACAGGTACTGACCTCTGAACTCTGAACCTTTGACCTTAGAGGAAGGTGATTGGGTGGGTAACTTTATGATGTGTCTCCCCCAGGGTAACTTTATGATGCGTCTCCCCCAGGGTAACTTTATGATGCGTCTCCCCCAGGGTAACTTTATGATGTGTCTCCCCCAGGGTAACTTTATGATGTGTCTCCCCCAGGGTAACTTTATGATGTGTCTCTCCCAGGGTAACTTTATGATGTGTCTCCCCCAGGGTAACTTTATGATGCGTCTCCCCCAGGGTAACTTTATGATGTGTCTCCCCCAGGGTAACTTTATGATGCGTCTCCCCCAGGGTAACTTTATGATGCGTCTCCCCCAGGGTAACTTTATGATGTGTCTCCCCCAGGGTAACTTTATGATGCGTCTCCCCCAGGGTAACTTTATGATGTGTCTCCCCCAGGGTAACTTTATGATGTGTCTCCCCCAGGGTAACTTTATGATGCGTCTCCCCCAGGGTAACTTTATGATGTGTCTCCCCCAGGGTAACTTTATGATGTGTCTCCCCCAGGGTAACTTTATGATGTGTCTCCCCCAGGGTAACTTTATGATGCGTCTCCCCCCAGGGTAACTTTATGATGTGGTCTCCCCCAGGGTAACTTTATGATGTGTCTCCCCCAGGGTAACTTTATGATGTGTCTCCCCCAGGGTAACTTTATGATGTGTCTCCCCCAGGGTAACTTTATGATGTGTCTCCCCAGGGTAACTTTATGATGTGTCTCCCCCAGGGTAACTTTATGATGCGTCTCCCCCAGGGTAACTTTATGATGGGTCTCCCCCAGGGTAACTTTATGATGCGTCTCCCCCAGGGTAACTTTATGATGTGTCTCCCCCAGGGTAACTTTATGATGTGTCTCCCCCAGGGTAACTTTATGATGTGTCTCCCCCAGGGTAACTTTATGATGTGTCTCCCCCAGGGTAACTTTATGATGTGTCTCCCCCAGGGTAACTTTATGATGTGTCTCTCCCAGTGTAACTTTATGATGTGTCTCCCCCAGGGTAACTTTATGATGTGTCTCTCCCAGGGTAACTTATTGATGTGTCTCCCCGGGTAACTTTATGATGTGTCTCCCCCAGGGTAACTTTATGATGTGTCCTCCCCCAGGGTAACTTTATGATGTGTCTCCCCCAGGGTAACTTTATGATGTGTCTCCCCCAGGGTAACTTTATGATGCGTCTCCCCCAGGGTAACTTTATGATGTGTCTCCCCCAGGGTAACTTTATGATGTGTCTCCCCCAGGGTAACTTTATGATGTGTCTCCCCCAGGGTAACTTTATGATGGGTCTCCCCCAGGGTAACTTTATGATGTTCCCCCCAGGGTAACTTTATGATGTGTCTCCCCCAGGGTAACTTTATGATGTGTCTCCCCCAGGGTAACTTTATGATGTGTCTCCCCCAGGGTAACTTTATGATGTGTCTCCCCCAGGGTAACTTTATGATGTGTCTCCCCCAGGGTAACTTTATGATGTGTCTCCCCAGGGTAACTTTATGATGTGTCTCCCCCGGGTAACTTTATGATGAGTCTCCCCCAGGGTAACTTTATGATGTGTCTCCCCCAGGTAACTTTATGATGTGGTCTCCCCCAGGGTAACTTTATGATGTGTCTCCCCAGGGTAACTTTATGATGTGTCTCCCCAGGGTAACTTATGATGTGTCTCCCCCAGGGTAACTTTATGATGTGTCTCCCCCAGGGTAACTTTATGATGCGTCTCCCCCAGGGTAACTTTATGATGTGTCTCCCCCAGTGTAAGCTAGGCATTGTGAAGTTCATCGAGGCAGAGCAGGTCCCGGAGGTGGAGACGGTCATACACCTGGTGGTTGCCTCTAGCGACACCAGACACGGCGTTGCCACGGCCGCAGACCTGGAGCTCAAGAGCAAGCAGAGGTACGTATCTATGGGACTGTTCTACTATTATGGGATGGTGATGGTGCAGTAGGGGGGCACCTCATTAGTCCATTTACAACATGCTACAGGAGTTGGTTCTGGGTTCTGATATTTGGTTCTCGGTTCCAAGAGTTGGTTGATTTGTGATATGATGTTATGTGTTGTTGTTGTTGTGATATCATGTTGGGTTTATTTTTGCAGTATTATCGACTGGAACAACCCCCTGATCGTCAACAAGATGTACAAGGTCTACCTGGGAGACATCCCCCTCAAAACTAAGGTGTGTAAAGATTCTTCCCACCTCAAACCTTCTGAACTCAATCAAACTTGGTCTTGAATTGATCAGCCCAATTGAATGAGTTCAAACGGCTTCGAACACGAAATGGCATTGATGAATGGAGGCCGAGATCTCTCCGGCATGGTCGCCGCATCGTCTTGATTGGTTGAATGTGTGAACAATATCACACATGCTGTGGCCAACTAATGTCCTGCTATGTCACGTTATGTCACGTTATGTCACGTCATGTCATAGGGGGCCAGTCTGAAGCGGGAGCTGAAGCACGAGCCGGTCAGCACCAGAGTCAAGATGAAGATCCTACCTCACCTCTTACGCTCTCGCCTGGCCGCTGAGTGCTTCCCTGCTAACATACAGGTACTGCTGTAGTGAGTGTTCTAGTTCTAACATACAGGTACTGCTGTAGTGGGTGTTCTAGTTCTAACATACAGGTACTGCTGTAGTGGGTGTTCTAGTTCTAACATACAGGTACTGCTGTAGTGGGTGTTCTAGTTCTAACATACAGGTACTGCTGTAGTGGGTGTTCTAGTTCTAACATACAGGTACTGCTGTAGTGGGTGTTCTAGTTCTAACATACAGGTACTGCTGTAGTGGGTGTTCTAGTTCTAACATACAGGTACTGCTGTAGTGGGTGTTCTAGTTCTAACATACAGGTACTGCTGTAGTGGGTGTTCTAGTTCTAACATACAGGTACTGCTGTAGTGGGTGTTCTAGTTCTAACATACAGGTACTGCTGTAGTGTGTGTGTGTTCTAGTTCTAACATACAGGTACTGCTGTAGTGTGTGTGTGTTCTAGTTCTAACATACAGGTACTGCTGTAGTGTGTGTTCTAGTTCTAACATACAGGTACTGCTGTAGTGGGTGTTCTAGTTCTAACATACAGGTACTGCTGTAGTGGGTGTTCTAGTTCTAACATACAGGTACTGCTGTAGTGGGTGTTCTAGTTCTAACATACAGGTACTGCTGTAGTGGGTGTGTGTTCTAGTTCTAACATACAGGTACTGCTGTAGTGGGTGTGTGTTCTAGTTCTAACATACAGGTACTGCTGTAGTGGGTGTTCTAGTTCTAACATACAGGTACTGCTGTAGTGGGTGTTCTAGTTCTAACATACAGGTACTGCTGTAGTGGGTGTGTGTTCTAGTTCTAACATACAGGTACTGCTGTAGTGGGTGTTCTAGTTCTAACATACAGGTACTGCTGTAGTGGGTGTGTGTTCTAGTTCTAACATACAGGTACTGCTGTAGTGTGTGTTCTAGTTCTAACATACAAGTACTGCTGTAGTGGGTGTGTGTTCTAGTTCTAACATACAGGTACTGCTGTAGTGTGTGTTCTAGTTCTAACATACAGGTACTGCTGTAGTGGGTGTGTGTTCTAGTTCTAACATACAGGTACTGCTGTAGTGGGTGTTCTAGTTCTAACATACAGGTACTGCTGTAGTGGGTGTTCTAGTTCGAACATACAGGTACTGCTGTAGTGGGTGTTCTAGTTCTAACATACAGGTACTGCTGTAGTGGGTGTTCTAGTTCTAACATACAGGTACTGCTGTAGTGGGTGTTCTAGTTCGAACATACAGGTACTGCTGTAGTGGGTGTTCTAGTTCTAACATACAGGTACTGCTGTAGTGGGTGTTCTAGTTCTAACATACAGGTACTGCTGTAGTGGGTGTTCTAGTTCTAACATACAGGTACTGCTGTAGTGGGTGTTCTAGTTCTAACATACAGGTACTGCTGTAGTGGGTGTTCTAGTTCTAACATACAGGTACTGCTGTAGTGGGTGTTCTAGTTCTAACATACAGGTACTGCTGTAGTGGGTGTTCTAGTTCTAACATACAGGTACTGCTGTAGTGGGTGTTCTAGTTCTAACATACAGGTACTGCTGTAGTGGGTGTTCTAGTTCGAACATACAGGTACTGCTGTAGTGGGTGTTCTAGTTCGAACATACAGGTACTGCTGTAGTGGGTGTTCTAGTTCTAACATACAGGTACTGCTGTAGTGGGTGTTCTAGTTCGAACATACAGGTACTGCTGTAGTGGGTGTTCTAGTTCGAACATACAGGTACTGCTGTAGTGGGTGTTCTAGTTCGAACATACAGGTACTGCTGTAGTGGTGTTCTAGTTCGAACATACAGGTACTGCTGTAGTGGGTGTTCTAGTTCGAACATACAGGTACTGCTGTAGTGGGTGTTCTAGTTCGAACATACAGGTACTGCTGTAGTGGGTGTTCTAGTTCGAACATACAGGTACTGCTGTAGTGGGTGTTCTAGTTCGAACATACAGGTACTGCTGTAGTGGGTGTTCTAGTTCTAACATACAGGTACTGCTGTAGTGGGTGTTCTAGTTCGAACATACAGGTACTGCTGTAGTGGGTGTTCTAGTTCTAACATACAGGTACTGCTGTAGTGGGTGTTCTAGTTCTAACATACAGGTACTGCTGTAGTGGGTGTTCTAGTTCTAACATACAGGTACTGCTGTAGTGGGTGTTCTAGTTCTAACATACAGGTACTGCTGTAGTGGGGTGTTCTAGTTCTAACATACAGGTACTGCTGTAGTGGGTGTTCTAGTTCTAACATACAGGTACTGCTGTAGTGGGTGTTCTAGTTCTAACATACAGGTACTGCTGTAGTGGGTGTTCTAGTTCTAACATACAGGTACTGCTGTAGTGGGTGTTCTAGTTCTAACATACAGGTACTGCTGTAGTGGGTGTTCTAGTTCTAACATACAGGTACTGCTGTAGTGAGTGTTCTAGTTCTAACATACAGGTACTGCTGTAGTGGGTGTTCTAGTTCTAACATACAGGTACTGCTGTAGTGAGTGTTCTAGTTCTAAACATACAGGTACTGCTGTAGTGGGTGTTCTAGTTCTAACATACAGGTACTGCTGTAGTGGGTGTTCTAGTTCTAACATACAGGTACTGCTGTAGTGGGTGTTCTAGTTCTAACATACAGGTACTGCTGTAGTGGGTGTTCTAGTTCTAACATACAGGTACTGCTGTAGTGGGTGTTCTAGTTCGAACATACAGGTACTGCTGTAGTGGGTGTTCTAGTTCGAACATACAGGTACTGCTGTAGTGGGTGTTCTAGTTCGAACATACAGGTACTGCTGTAGTGGGTGTTCTAGTTCGAACATACAGGTACTGCTGTAGTGGGTGTTCTAGTTCGAACATACAGGTACTGCTGTAGTGGGTGTTCTAGTTCTAACATACAGGTACTGCTGTAGTGGGTGTTCTAGTTCGAACATACAGGTACTGCTGTAGTGGGTGTTCTAGTTCGAACATACAGGTACTGCTGTAGTGGGTGTTCTAGTTCGAACATACAGGTACTGCTGTAGTGGGTGTTCTAGTTCGAACATACAGGTACTGCTGTAGTGGGTGTTCTAGTTCGAACATACAGGTACTGCTGTAGTGGGTGTTCTAGTTCGAACATACAGGTACTGCTGTAGTGGGTGTTCTAGTTCGAACATACAGGTACTGCTGTAGTGGGTGTTCTAGTTCTAACATACGGTACTGCTGTAGTGGGTGTTCTAGTTCTAACATACAGGTACTGCTGTAGTGGGTGTTCTAGTTCTAACATACAGGTACTGCTGTAGTGGGTGTTCTAGTTCTAACATACAGGTACTGCTGTAGTGGGTGTTCTAGTTCTAACATACAGGTACTGCTGTAGTGGGTGTTCTAGTTCTAACATACAGGTACTGCTGTAGTGGGGTGTTCTAGTTCTAACATACAGGTACTGCTGTAGTGGGTGTTCTAGTTCTAACATACAGGTACTGCTGTAGTGGGTGTTCTAGTTCTAACATACAGGTACTGCTGTAGTGGGTGTTCTAGTTCTAACATACAGGTACTGCTGTAGTGGGTGTTCTAGTTCTAACATACAGGTACTGCTGTAGTGGGTGTTCTAGTTCTAACATACAGGTACTGCTGTAGTGGGTGTTCTAGTTCTAAACATACAGGTACTGCTGTAGTGGGTGTTCTAGTTCTAACATACAGGTACTGCTGTAGTGGGTGTTCTAGTTCTAACATACAGGTACTGCTGTAGTGGGTGTTCTAGTTCTAACATACAGGTACTGCTGTAGTGGGTGTTCTAGTTCTAACATACAGGTACTGCTGTAGTGGGGTGTTCTAGTTCTAACATACAGGTACTGCTGTAGTGGGTGTTCTAGTTCTAACATACAGGTACTGCTGTAGTGGGTGTTCTAGTTCTAACATACAGGTACTGCTGTAGTGGGTGTTCTAGTTCTAACATACAGGTACTGCTGTAGTGGGTGTTCTAGTTCTAACGTACAGGTACTGCTGTAGTGGGTGTTCTAGTTCTAACGTACAGGTACTGCTGTAGTGGGTGTTCTAGTTCTAACGTACAGGTACTGCTGTAGTGGGTGTTCTAGTTCTAACGTACAGGTACTGCTGTAGTGGGTGTTCTAGTTCTAACGTACAGGTACTGCTGTAGTGGGTGTTCTAGTTCTAACGTACAGGTACTGCTGTAGTGGGTGTTCTAGTTCTAACGTACAGGTACTGCTGTAGTGGGTGTTCTAGTTCTAACGTACAGGTACTGCTGTAGTGGGTGTTCTAGTTCTAACGTACAGGTACTGCTGTAGTGGGTGTTCTAGTTCTAACGTACAGGTACTGCTGTAGTGGGTGTTCTAGTTCTAACGTACAGGTACTGCTGTAGTGGGTGTTCTAGTTCTAACGTACAGGTACTGCTGTAGTGGGTGTTCTAGTTCTAACGTACAGGTACTGCTGTAGTGGGTGTTCTAGTTCTAACGTACAGGTACTGCTGTAGTGGGTGTTCTAGTTCTAACGTACAGGTACTGCTGTAGTGAGTGTTCTAGTTCTAACGTACAGGTACTGCTGTAGTGGGTGTTCTAGTTCTAACGTACAGGTACTGCTGTAGTGGGTGTTCTAGTTCTAACATACAGGTACTGCTGTAGTGGGTGTTCTAGTTCTAACATACAGGTACTGCTGTAGTGGGTGTTCTAGTTCTAACATACAGGTACTGCTGTAGTGGGTGTTCTAGTTCTAACATACAGGTACTGCTGTAGTGGGTGTTCTAGTTCTAACATACAGGTACTGCTGTAGTGGGTGTTCTAGTTCTAACATACAGGTACTGCTGTAGTGGGTGTTTCTAGTTCTAACATACAGGTACTGCTGTAGTGGGTGTTCTAGTTCTAACATACAGGTACTGCTGTAGTGGGTGTTCTAGTTCTAACATACAGGTACTGCTGTAGTGGGTGTTCTAGTTCTAACATACAGGTACTGCTGTAGTGGGTGTTCTAGTTCTAACATACAGGTACTGCTGTAGTGAGTGTTCTAGTTCTAACATACAGGTACTGCTGTAGTGGGTGTTCTAGTTCTAACATACAGGTACTGCTGTAGTGGGTGTTCTAGTTCTAACATACAGGTACTGCTGTAGTGGGTGTTCTAGTTCTAACATACAGGTACTGCTGTAGTGGGTGTTCTAGTTCAGGGAAAGCTAACGTCCTGGATGTGTGTTCATGCAAATCTTTGTGAATGTCCTTCCACTGTCTTTCCCTCAAGGAAACCTTCATCACCTGTCTTTTTCCTGTTTCTCTTCTACTCCTTCCTTCTATCCTCCTCTCCTCTCCTCTCCTCTCCTCTCCTCTCCTCTCCTCTCCTCTCCTCTCCTCTCCCCTACCTTCTCCTCCCCTCTCCCATAACCTCTCCTCTCTCCCCTCCCCTCTCCTCCTCTCGCTCCCCTATCCTCTCTCCTCTCTCCAGGTGGTGTATGACGGTCTGTTTGGAGCCAACACCAACAACAAGCTGCTCTCTCTTACCCTTCAGTTTGTCCACCACATCTGTCAGGTGTAAGTACTGGTCCCAAGTCAATTTCATCCAACCCTTACACATAGAGACAGCCACTAAGAGCTGGTCCTAGATCAGTTTATCCACTATGGTAAGTACTGTAGTATTACTGATCTCTAGTCAGTTTGTCTTCTCAGTCAAATCTTACACAGAGAGAGGTTGCTACTAAGCGCTGGTCCTAGATCAGTTTTGTGACGAAGTGGATAGCTATCTGCGATGTGTAAGTACTGATTCCAAATCAGTTTCAGTCAACCCATCCTCATAAAGACAGTCACTAAGAAATGGTCCTAGATCAGTTTGTCCAACAGTGCCCAACACATCTGTAGGGGATAAGTACTGGTCCCAAGTCAGTTTCAACCAACCCTTCCTAAAAGAGACAGCTACACAACATGACCAAAAGTTTGTGGACACCTGCTCGTCGAACATCTCATTCCAAAATCCATGGGCATTAATATGGAGTTGGTCCCCCCCTTTGCTGCTATAACAGCCTCCACTCTTCTGGGAAGGCTTTCCACTAGATGTTGGAACATTGCTGCGGGGACTTGCTTCCATTCAGCCACAAGAGCATTAGTGAGGTCGGGCACTGATGTTGGGCGATTAGGCCTGGCTCGCAGTCGGCGTTCCAATTCATCCCAAAGGTGTTCGATGGGGTTGAGGTCAGGGCTCTGTGCAGGCCGGTCAAGTTCTTCCACACCGATCTCGACAAACCATTTCTGTATGGACCTCGCTTTGTGCACAGGGGCATTGTCATGCTGAAACAGGAAAGGGCCTTCCCCAAACTGTTGCCCCAAAGTTGGAAGCACAGAATCGTCTAGAATGTCATTGTATACTGTAGTGTTAAGATTTTCCTTCACTGGAACTAAGGGGCCTAGCCCGAACCATGAAAAACAGCCCCGGAGCATTATTCTTCCTCCACCAAACTTTACAGTTGGCACTATGCATTGGGGCGGGTTGCGTTCTCCTGGCATCCGCCAAACCCATATTCGTCCGTCGGACTGCCAGATGGTGAAGCATGATTCATCACTCCAGAGAACGCTTTTCTACTGCTCCAGAGACCAATGGCGGTGAGCTTTACGCTTTGGCATTGCGCATGGTGATCTTAGGCTTGTGTGCGGCTGCTCGGCCATGAAAACCCATTTCATGAAGCTCCCGACAAACAGTTATTGTGCTGACGTTGCTTCCAGAGGCAGTTTGGAACTCGGTAGTGAGTGTTGCAACCGAGGACAGACGATTTTTACGGGCTTCAGCACTCGGCGGTCCCGTTCTGTGAGCTTGTGTGGTCTACCACTTCGCGGCTGAGCTGTTGTTGCTCCTAGATGTTTCCACTTCACAATAACAGCCCTTACAGTTGACCGGGGCAGCTCTAGCAGGGCAGAAATTGACAAACTGACTTGTTGGAAAGGTGGCATCCTATGACGGTGCCACTTTGAAAGTCACTGAGCTCTTCAGTACGGGCCATTCTACTGCCAATGTTTGTCTATGGAGATTGCATGGCTGTGTACTTGATTTTATACACCTGTCAGCAACCAGTGTGGCTGAAATAGAAACCACTAATTTGAAGGGGTGTCCACATACTGCTGTGTGTATGTGTGTATATATATATATAGTTTACTAAGGCAGCCCAATTCTGATCTTTTGCCCAATCATTGGCAAAAGAGCTGATCTGATTGGTCAAAAGACCAAGTAGTGTAAAAAAAGATCATAATTGGGCTGCCTGTGTAAACGCAGCCTAAGAGCTGGTCCTACATCAGTTTATCCACCACATCTGCCAGATGTAAGAACTGATTCCAAGTCAGTTTCAGTTATCTCAGTCAAACCGTACACAGAGAGAGATGGCCACTAAGAGCTGGTCCTTCATCAGTTTGTCCACTATCACATTCTTTTACATTTTAGTCATTTTAGCAGACGCTCTTATCCAGAGCGACTTAAAGTTACTGAGTGCATACATTTTTCATACTGGCCCCCCCGTGGGAATCGAACCCACAACCCTGGCGTTGCTAGCGTCATGCTCGACCAACTGAGGTACAGGAGGCAGGCATGGTGAAAGCGATTTACAAGTCAGTTAGTCTTCTCAGTTCACGGTTACACAAAGAGAGATGGCCACTATGAGCTGGTCCTAGATCAGTTAGAACTAAACACTTCAATAACAAAAAACAACAAAACCTAATTTGAAGGGTCGTCAAAGGGGTGTCAGTGCAGGCTTTTGTTCCAGCCCAACACTAACCAAAGCCACTCCTAGCATGTTCTAACATGTTGAGACGTGTCTCTCCTCTCTCTGACAGATGCCCTGACACCAACAAGCCACTGGGTCTGATGCTGCTGAATGGACTCACCAAGCTCATCAATGAGTACAAGGAGGTAAACCCAATCAATCAATGGTTTTAATCTCGTTTCATCAATTACACATTTCCTTTCAACGGTGGATGCTTTGCATGCTCCTGGTGTAGATGGTGATGGGATGTGTTTTGTTGTGTTTGGTTTGGTTTGCAGGATCCCAAGTTGATGTGTATGGCCTACTCCGCTGTGGGGAAACTCTCCAGGTAGTCATACATTTTTAAATAGACTGATTTTTACCGTATGTAAAAAAAAAAAATGCACCATGCCGAAATCACTCCGCCATTTCATGGTTGCAAAAATTCTAATAGTTTTTGTCTAATTTCAGTTTGTGTGACAAAATAAGCAAGTGTAGTGTAGAGAATCATTGTACCATCTAAACCACTGTGAAATATATTTCCCATAACCTAAAATATTGTATTTTCAGCTGTTTTGAAGCTGGTGTTCAAAACCTAAAGTAAAAGACGCAGAATACGAAAAGTATAGAAATAGCGCATATAGAAAATATATACCGCTTGTTCTCGTTGCTTTTAATGAGAATGACAGATCTATAACACGTTTCTATGTGAATTTGGTCGCGTTGCCCAAAAAGCTACATATTGGAGCTTTAACAACGATCATCTGTCTTGATATTATGATGAGTTTATGTGATAGTGAGGTGATGTTCCTCTCTCCTCCTCCTCCTAGCCGGATGCCCCAACTCTTCACCAAAGACATAGCACTGGTCCAGCAGTTCTTTGAGGCCATGTGCAAGGTAGGTGTTGCTGCATCAAGACAATGCTATTTGAATACACTGTTTACCGATATTTCAGTTTTGTATTTTATTTTATAAATTAGCAATATTTTCTTAAAACCTTTTTTTTGCTTTGGCATTATGGGGTATTGTGTGTAGATTGATGAGGGGGAAAAAACAATTTAATCCATTTTAGAGTAAGGCTGTAACGTAACAAAATGTGGAAAAACTCAAGGTGTATGAATACTTTCTGAATGCCCTGTACATCATGTATATATTTAGACAAGACACAAAGCATAATTCAAGGTTGATGGCAGCAACATGTTCATATATTCCAACCCCCCCCTCCCTCCCATCTGACCTTGTCTGTGTTTAGGAGGAGCCTGACGTGCGTCTAGCCATCCAGGAGGCTCTGTCGATGATGGTGGGAGCCTACGCTAACCTACAGGGGGCGCTACTCAACCTGATGGAAGCTCTGGTGGCAGCTTACATGGGCAAGGTAACACTAGATATGGTTTCTCCTATGACAGGGGGGTAGGCAACTAGATTCAGCCGCGAGACGATTTTTGGTCGGGGGGCCCGGGAAACATAATTTGTAAACTGCAAATTGACCACAACTAAGCCCTAAAAGAGATTGTATTTGTAAATAACAATATTTTCTTACCTTGATTACATTGAGACACGAGCACATATCTCTTTTTTTTTTTTTTTTTTATTCATGGGAATACTTGGGAACAGATTTCCTAAACTAAACACATTTTCAGCTGATTTTCTGTCTTCTTTTTCTTCCTTTGGGGGGCCAAAATAAATCACAGCGGGCCGCCTGTTGCCGACCCCTGTCCTATGATCTCTCTACGATTTATATATGAAGTATTAATAGTTCTACCAGCTATGAGTTCTACTATGAAATAACATGTAGAAATTGTCTGATTTTAATCTACCAAGAATATATGGGATATGCTTGAATCATAATATTTTGTGGTCGTTGTAGGGAATACTGTTGTCAATGTATTCCAGAATATGATTGTCTGAATATTGGTGTTGCTGAAGAATCTAGATGATTACGTTGGAATATTGCTTTCTGATTGGTCAGCCAAAGCTCTGAGTATTGTGTTCTTCTGTGTTGTGATTGGTCAGCCTGAGGTACAGGTGCGTCAGGTGGCAATGAAGTACGCCAGCACGGTATTCGCTCCTGATCATGTGCCCTCCAGATACTTGCTCCTATTGGCTGCCGGGGACCCGTAAGTCTCAGCACTACACACCACACACACACACACACACTGAATATAAAACATGTAAGTCTCAGCACTACACACCACACACACACCCACCTACATCCACTATGTATGATCATGCTGCCATACAGTGAATATATCCCATCCACCTTACAGGTACAATACTCACACAATGGTAGGATAGCTCCTATGATATTTATCAATGTGTTATTGAATCTTGTATACTTTTAATACGATTTATATTAATTTTTTGGGGTTGTTTGTGTGTTGTTGCAGGACAGAGGAGGTGTGGTGTTATTAAGTAGAAGTAGTATAAAGTATCTCTATGGTGTGTTATTATAGGAGAGAGACCCAGTGTCCTGACCTCATAGTGTCTCTATGGTGTGTTATTATAGGAGAGAGACCCAGAGTGTCCTGACCTCATAGTGTCTCTATGGTGTGTTATTATAGGAGAGAGACCCAGTGTCCTGACCTCATAGTGTCTCTATGGTGTGTTATTATAGGAGAGAGACCCAGAGTGTCATGACCTCATAGTGTCTCTATGGTGTGTTATTATAGGAGAGAGACCCAGTGTCCTGACCTCAGTGTCTCTATGGTCTATGGTGTGTTATTATAGGAGAGAGACCCAGAGTGTCCTGACCTCATAGTGTCTCTATGGTGTGTTATTATAGGAGAGAGACCCAGAGTGTCCTGACCTCATAGTGTCTCTATGGTGTGTTATTATAGGAGAGAGACCCAGAGTGTCCTGACCTCATAGTGTCTCTATGGTGTGTTATTATAGGAGAGAGACCCAGTGTCCTGACCTCATAGTGTCTCTATGGTGTGTTATTATAGGAGAGAGACCCAGTGTCCTGACCTCATAGTGTCTCTATGGTGTGTTATTATAGGAGAGAGACCCAAGTGTCCCTGACCTCATAGTGTCTCTATGGTGTGTTATTATAGGAGAGAGGACCCAGTGTCCTGACCTCATAGTGTCTCTATGGTGTGTTATTATAGGAGAGAGACCCAGTGTCCTGACCTCATAGTGTCTCTATGGTGTGTTATTATAGGAGAGAGACCCAGAGTGTCCTGACCTCATAGTGTCTCTATGGTGTGTTATTATAGGAGAGAGACCCAGAGTGTCCTGACCTCATAGTGTCTGTATGGTGTGTTATTATAGGAGAGAGACCCAGTGTCCTGACCTCATAGTGTCTGTATGGTGTGTTATTATAGGAGAGAGACCCAGTGTCCTGACCTCATAGTGTCTCTATGGTGTGTTATTATAGGAGAGAGACCCAGTGTCCTGACCTCATAGTGTCTCTATGGTGTGTTATTATAGGAGAGAGACCCAGTGTCCTGACCTCATAGTGTCTCTATGGTGTGTTATTATAGGAGAGAGACCCAGAGTGTCCTGACCTCATAGTGTCTCTATGGTGTGTTATTATAGGAGAGAGACCCAGTGTCCTGACCTCATAGTGTCTCTGTGGTGTGTTATTATAGGAGAGAGACCCCAGAGTGTCCCTGACCTCATAGTATCTCTATGGTGTGTTATTATAGGAGAGAGACCCAGTGTCCTGACCTCATAGTGTCTCTATGGTGTGTTATTATAGGAGAGAGACCCGTGCCTGACCTCATAGTGTCCTGCCGGTGTGTTATTATAGGAGAGAGACCCAGTGTCCTGACCTCATAGTGTCTCTACGGTGTGTTATTATAGGAGAGAAGAGGTGTGCAGCGAGGCCCAGCGTGTCCTGAGGGCTCTGCCTGCTAAGAAGTCAGAGAAAGTGGGCTGTAAACCCATGCCCTCCTTCCCTGACATGGTGGCCTACATCCAGGAGAAGGTGAGAGCATAACCCTTATCCCAAATCTATCCCCTGCCATTATATAATTAGCTCTCTTGTTAGTATGGAAGTACAGGTGTCAGGCGGTATGTCTTTCCAGCCCTGTTGATCTGCCCTGGTCTGTCCTTTAGGCTGCTCAGAGGATGAAGACTCCAGCTAAGTACGTCGTGGGGACGTACACTCTACCCTTCAACCCTTCTGCATTTGGCGAGGTAAGGCACAAATGTCCGGCAAAACAACTTCAACTAAATACAGGTGGATGCACATCAGGCCGTTTATGACCGGCAAAACCCCAAAAGAATTGAAGAGGAAATTAAAGTATGGGAAAAAAATAAACAAAACACAAACAAACGATGGGACTTATTTACCTTTTCTCCTTGCCACACTTCCTGTTTTATAGACATCACTTCCTTTCTAACCAGGTAGCTTAGTGGTTAAGAGCGTTGTGCCAGTAACCGAAAGGTTGCTGGTTCTAATCCCCAAGCTGACTAGGTGAAAAATCTGTCGATGTGCCCTTGAGCAAGGCACTTAACCCTAATTGCTCCTGTAAGTCGCTCTGGTTAAGAGCGTCTGCTAAATGACCATTTTTTTTTTAAAAAAAATAAAAAATAAATAAATAAAATAACCCCTGCTCCTGTCCCCCAGATCGTGCTGTACCTGCGGATGTGTCTGGCCCACAGTGCCGGGGCCACGCCCATCTCTAAGAGCCTGGCGGACATGCAGGACGACGCGCCTGCCATCGGACGCTACGTACACACCCTCCTCTCCAACGAACCCCTGACCCCGCCGTCCTCCGCCGGAACCAAGGGGCCGGAGGTCAACCCTGTACAGGTCTACATCCACCTACTGCAGCAGCTGCTGTCTGCTGTAGGAGGTGAGTGGTGTGATGCCTCCTTCCCTTGTCTCCTTGGCTCCGAATACTCATGTGTTTACTGGCCTGGAATGCAAAATGGGATGCTCCGTCCGTTTCACCGATTGTTGATATTGTGAAGTGAGCATATCAGTTTGGATTCCAGGCCAGGGCGGCAGGTAGCTTAGTGGTTAAGAGCGTTGTGCCAGTAACCGAAAGGTCGCTGGTTCTAATCCCCGAGCCGACTAGGTGAAATATCTGTCGATGTGCCCTTGAGCAAGGCACTTAACCCTAATTGCTCCTGTAAGTCGCTCTGGATAAGAGCGTCTGCTAAATGACTAAACATTTTTAAAAAATACATCATTCATACCTTGTAACTGGTCCAGATACAATGTAGTTATACATTTTTTTTTCTATGTCTTTTTTTTCTTGATTTTCTTTGGATAGGAGTCCCTGTGATGTACTGTCTTCTGGAGGTGGTGTCTGTCTGTCCTCACAACCTGGCCCCCAGGTTTATCGACAAGATCGACTGGATCAAGGTAAATCATGCTGCGTGCTATGATAATTGACGCTACTATTGTAAAAGATACCTTGGTATGCTAATGCTAATTGATGCTACTTCTGTAAAATATTTAATTGGTATGCTAATCGATGCTATGTAATATACTACTCAGATACAGGTCCTTGGTACGCTACATGCTAGGCCAATGCTAATCAATGCTAATGCTACTCGATGCTAACGCTGGTCAATGCTACTACTCTAAAATATACATTGGTATGCTGCGTGCTATGCTAACGCTAGTTGACGCTGCTTCTGCAAAGGATACATTGGTATGCTTCATGCTACGCTAACGCTAAATCGATGCTAATGCTACATTTCCCCCCCTTCCGCAGAGTCTAATGAACACCAACAAGGAGGACCTAAGGGAGCTAGCAGCTCAGCTGTATGCTGTGGTGGTGTCCACCATGTCAGGAAACGAGCTGAAGACTGCCGTTCAGACACTCATCAAGATCACTAAAGATACGCACGTATGTAGCCTCCCGCCTTCACCTAGATCACTAAAGACACATTTCTGTTAGTCTAGGTCTGTTATTCATTAGTGACCTTACCAAGTCTTCAGGGTTATCTCAAACACACGTATAAACACTCACATCTGTTTAGCTACCATTCCACTCCTTGTTCTCCGTTTCATATGCCAAAGATGTTTAGCATGACAGGAGTGGCAAGGAGTGGACTGATAGCTGAACAGACTGGTACCAGACTAGATGATAGCTGAACAGACTGGTACCAGACTGGACCAAGGCGTTGACTTGATAGCTAAAGACTGGTACCAGACTGAGATGATAGCTAAACAGCACTGGTACCCAGACCTGGACCAAGGCAGTGAGACTGATTAGCTAAACCGACTGGTACCAGACGAGATGATAGCTAAACAGACTGGTCCAGACTAATGAAGCTAAACAGACTGGTACCACCATACTCATATGATAGCTAGACGACTGGTACCAGACTAGATGATAGCTACCACCAGACGGTATCCCAGACTAGATGATCAGCTGAACAACTGGTACCATACTAGATGATAGCTAAACAACTGGTACCCTAGACTAGATGATAGCTACCAGACTGGTACCAGACTAGAGTGCTAAACATACTGGTTACCAGACTAGATGATAGCTGAACGACTGGTACCTCATCTAGATGTAGCTAATAAACAGACTGGTAAGCCTAGACTAGATGATCGCTATGACCGGACTGGTACCCATACCTAATGATAGCTGCACAGACTGGTACCCCCAGACTAGATGATAGCTAGACAGAACGGGTACCAGACTCGAGATGCTAAACAGACTGGTAACAAGCCACCGCAGACTAGATGATAGCTAAACAGACGGTACCCCAAACTAGATGATCAGCTAGACGACTGGGTACCCAGCTAGATGATAGCTAAACAGACTGGTACCCCCAGACTAGATGATAATCTAGACGACTGGTAGCCCAACTAGATGATAGCTAGACAGACTGGTACCAGACTAGATGATAGCTTACCCATACCTGTTACCATCTAGATGAAGCTGAACAGACTGTACCAGACTAGATGATAGCTACCCGACTGGCTACCAGACTAGATGATAGCTCGTGACAGACTTGTACCAGACTAGATTAGCTAACCGACTGTTTACCAGACTAGATATAGCTGAACAGACTGGTACCAGACTATATGATAAGCTAAACAGACTGGTAACCAGACTAATGATAGCTAGACGACTGGGTACAGACTAGATGATAGCTAAACAGACTGGTACCCCGATAGTATGATAGCTAAGACGACTGTACCTCAGACTAATGATAGCTAACCAGACTGTACCAACTAGATGATAGATGAAACAACTGGTACCAGACTAGATGCTATCTAAACAGAAATGGTAACCAACTAGATGATAGTAGACAGACTGGTACCAACTAATGATGCTACACAGACCTGGTACCGAGACGAATGATAGCTGAACAGACGTTATCCAGACTAGTGATAGCTAAACAGACTGGTACCAACTAGATGATAGCCTAAACAACTGGATACCAGACTATATTATAGCTAGCAGACTGGTACCAGACTAGAATGATAGGCTGAAGCAGACTGGGTACCAGACTAGATTATTAGCTAAACGCACTGGGTAACCCAGACTAATGATTAGCTAAACCGACTGGTACCAAACTAGATGATAGCTAGCAGACTGGTACCCAGACTAGATGAATGCTAGACAGACTGGTACCAGACTAGATGATAGCAACCAGACTGGTACCAGACTAGATGATCGCTAAACGCTGGTAAGCCCCAGACTAGATGATAGCTCAAGAGACTGGTCACTCAGACTAGATGATAGCTAAACATACTGGGTACCCAGACTAGATGATAGCTAAACAGACTGGTACCAGACTAGACCAAGGAGTGAATGATAGCTAAACAGACTGGTACCAGACTACATGATCGCTAACCAACTGGTACCAGACTAGATTATAGCTAACCAGACTGGTAACCGGATACTAGATGATAGCTAAACAGACTGGTACCCATACTAGATTGATAGCTAGAACAGACTGGTACCAAGAAAAAACTAGATGATAGCTAAACCGACTGGTACCAAGAGCTAGACCAAGGGTGAAATATAGCTAAACATACTGGTACCAGACTAGATAATCGCTAACAGACTGGTTCTTACTAGACCAAGGATAATATAGCTAAAAAACAGACTGGTACCAAGACTAGATGATTGCTAACCCATACTGGTACCAATAGATGATAGCAAACAGCTGGTTACCCCAGACTAGATGATAGCTAACCAACTGTTCCAGACAGATGGATAGCTAACAGACTGGTACCAGACGAGAACAAGGGAGGGAATTATAGTAAACGACTAGTACCAGACTAATTATAGCTAAACCCTGTACCAGACTAATTAAATAGTTAACAGACTGGTACCAGACTAGAACCAAGAGTGGAATGATAGCTAAACCGACTGGTACCATACTAGATGAAGCTAGAACAGACTGGTACGCAGACTAGATGAATAGCTAGAAAACCAAGACTGGTACCCCCATCCTAGATGATAGCTAAACCAGACTGTACCTCACAGATTATAGCTAAACAACTGTTACCAGACTAGGAATGATAGCACACAGACTGGTACCAACTAGATGATAGCTAACAGACGGTTACCAGAACTAGATGATGCTAACAGACTGTACCAGACGCGATGATAGCTTAGAACAGACTGGTAACCGACAGACTAGATGATCGCTAACCAGACTGGTACCATACTAGATGATAAGCTAGACAAGACTGTACCAAAGACTAATGATAGGTAATACAGAACTGGTACCAGACTAATAATGATAGCTAGAAAGACTGGTACCAGACTAGATGATAGCTAACAGACTGGTACCAGACGTAGAATGAATAGCTAACAGACGGTACCGACTAGATGATAGCTAAACATACTGGTAACAAGAACCACTAGGTTTTATTTTCACATTTATATTGACCTATATTTGCTGCACATACAGGATGCAGTTTTTCCTGGTCTGGAAATTGTTTTCTAAGTTCATTTTGAATGCATGTAATGTACTGAAGCAAAAGTTATCGCAGTTTCACTGAGCTGAATGTAAACCTGTATTCCCTCTTGGAAACTGCAGAGCCCTGAGACCCAGCACGGAGCCATCATGGCGCTGGGCTACATGGTGGGCAGGTACATGAGCAAGAGGAAGTCCTTCACTAACGGAGACTCCGCCCTCAACCGGGAACAGCGGATGAGCGCCACACCCAAGGAGGATGAGGAGCTGGTCGCTATAGCAACCAAAGCCATCGGTAGGTGACTGTCACCGTTTTATATTTCAGACAGTATTTACTATCATTTTTTGTTTGTTTTTAGACCAGTTTTATGCTAATTCACATTGTTACAAAAAATTACTCATATTTATACTTTTTAAATGTATTTGTGCATATAGGAAAGAATTACTCATATTTATCATTTTTAAATATATTTTAGCATATAGGAAAGAATTACTCATATTTATCATTTTTTAAATATATTTTAGCATATAGGAAAGAATTACTCATATTTATCATTTTTAAATATATTTTAGCATATAGGAAAATTACTCTATTATCCTTTTTAAATAATATTTTAGCATATAGGAATTTATCATTTTAAAATATATTTTAGCATATAGGAAAGAATTACTCATATTATATTCCGTTTTAAAATATATTTTAGCCCATAGGAAAGAATTACGCATATTTACCTTTTTAAAATATATTTAGCATATAGGAAAGAATTACCATAGTTATCCTCATTTTAAATATATTTTAGCATATACGGAAAAGAATTACTCATATTTATCATTTTAATATATTTTTAAGCATAGAGGAAGAATTACTTACCATATTTATCATTTTTAAAATATTTTTTAGCACATAGGAAAGAAATTACCTCATATTTAATCATTTAAAAATATATTTTAGCATATAGGAAAGAATTACTCATATTTATCATTTTTAAAATATATTTTAGCATATAGGAAAGAATTACTCATATTTATCATTTTAAAATATATTTTAGCATATAGGAAAGAATTACTCATATTTATCCCTTTAAAATATATTTTAGCATATAGGAAAGCATCCAATTGAAGGAAGAAAGGTGTAGTCGAGGCAATAAAAGGAAACCATTTCGATCCAATGTACGTTTCCAGGTCGGCTGATGTCGTGTGTGTGTGTGTGTGTGTGTGTGTGTGTGTGTGTCTGTGTGTGTGCGTGTGCGTGTGTGTGCGTGTGTGTGTGTGTGTGTGTGTGTGTTCCCAGGTTCTTTCCTAGACAGCGGTTCCCCCCTGCTAGCGGTAGCAGCATGTACAGCCCTGGGGGAGATGGGGAGGAACGGACCTCTGCTCATCCCTTCAGAAGGAGAGGGATTCACCAAACTAGCTATGGTGGATAACATGCTGGCTCGCATCCCCTCTGGGAAAGAGACGCTCAAGGTAACCATGGATACAGCAGCACGTGACATAATGATGCTGTGAAAGGGCAGTTGGTTGTGATGCTAGACCGTGATAATTGCACTCTGGGGATGTTAAATACATTCTAATGAATTGGTTTTGAACCATTTTATAATAGAAATACCTATTCATGTGAAGAGACTCTAATCCAACTCCCTTTCTACCTGTCCAGAGGAAGGAGCCAGCCAGCCTGTGTTAGTTAGATAGGTGTAGTTAATAGTCTGTTAGATGTATTCATGTGGTCTCTGTCTGTCCAGATGAAGGAGAGAGCCATCCAGACTCTGGGCTATCTACCAGTGGGGGACGGAGACTTTGCCCACCAGAAGAAGCTGCTGCAGGGGCTCATGGACTCTGTGGAGGTAGGGGACTGGCTCTCATTTAATGGAGCTTTTAAGACCTTCATGGAGCTTCATTAATGCATTCGTAAAGCTTCATAAGACCTACATTAAGCTTCATAGGACCTTTTTGTGAAGCTTCATAAGACATTGTTTATCATGCAGAAAGAACTGAGACGAGGAGAAGCAAGAGGTTAACCCTTTCCTCTTCCCTCTTGTCACCTCATCTCGGTTTCCTCCCCCTTCCTCTCTCTCTCCCCCCCTTCCCGCCCCCCCTTCTCTCTCTCTCTCTTCGCCCCCCCTCCCGTGTCCCCCCCCCCCTTCTCGTCCTCTCTATCTCCTCATTCCTCTCTCATCTCTCATCTCTCTCATCGCTCTCTTACCTCGCTCGTCCTCGGCACAATCTCTCTCTCCGGGCTTGCTCGTCCTCTCATTCTTCCTGTCACCGACTCTCCGGGGTCCTCACTCGAATACGGTCAGCGATCTCCAACCATCGACTCTCCCGAATTCAGAGTGCCAATTCAGAATGACGAGTTCGGCTCAACCTTCCTACCCAGTCGAAGAGGAGAGGACTCTCTCTCGGGTCTGCTCTCTCCCCCCCCCTTTCTCTCTCCCCACCACTTCTCATCGTTCTCCCAGCTCGGGCTCATCTCTCATAAGAGCATCGTCTCACAAGATCAGTCGTCATCTCTCTTGTGGCTATCTCTCCTTTCCTCCTGGGAGCGGACACCTCCATCTATACTCTCCATCCGTCTCTCATCCTCTGGCCCGGGTCTTCTCTACACAGTTCCCCGCCTATCTCTACACATCAGATCATGTCAATCGAGAGCGCCCCTCTTCTCCTCTCGAAGGAAGCAACTCATCTTGAATTCAAAAAGACCAAAGAATGCCTCCCTCTGATATCCCCCCGCCCCCCAACCGCATCACACCGTCCAGCACTGCCTTGCTCACCACATACGAGGTCTGCGTCAACTGCTCTTGACGCTACACTACAACTTACAGGCGAATACTACAAAGATCCGAGGAAATTGCCCAAAGGCGGGAGAGATCGGACACATCTCCTCATGACATCACCAAAAACCTGGGCATCCGGTCTCTCTCTCCCTCTCTCCTCTAACCCCTCCCAGGCTAACATGTAGAAGCTACACTTTTACAGTGGTTGAGGGCCATCACAATTGCCGCATAAGGGCTATTCTGGCGCTGCCAGGGACCCTTGACCTTTAACTGAGTACCAATACATCCCCCCATACAGTACGATTACCCACACATACAACCCACACGCTACACCACATAGACACCCACACACACCCACCAGCACACAATATACACAGCACCATATTACAAACACCACACACTCACACAATATTACGCAACACATACACACATATACAACACCAACACCGCATATACACACCCACACAGGGTGATTTTTTTTGATGTTGTGGATCAACACCCATATACAACATTCCGTACACCCAGCTCACACCACACTATAAGACCTAACACAACACAGCACACATATCACAGAACAGCACCTACACCACACAAAAACATACACCACACATATACACGACCCACATCTACAACACCACAACAACACCACACCCTCAAACCACACACCCATACACCCACACACCTATACACCAACCCCAAGATCCAACGACAGCTCAACCCACATATAGCCCCCCACACCCCAGCCAAAACCCCCCCCTCCACCCCATCTACACACCACCGATATCACAGCCCCCCCCTTCCCCCACCTCCGCCACACACGCCCTCCCCGCCGCACACCCACGTTCGCCCTTTGTCCACACCCCGACACACACACTCACACACACACACACTGGCTAAATCCTTCCTGTGGTGTGAAACACAGCTCTGGCTGATCTGGTTGTTTTCCTTCCTTTTCTTGCGTTCTGATTTGTTTGTTTTATTTAGATAGACTTGTCCATCCTTTGTCTCCCTGTCAGATGTGAAGAGTAATGACGTGGTTCTGTGGGTGCTAAACTCCATCCTGGCTAAGTACATCCCAAGTCAGAACCCCCACGTCAGACAGGCTGCCTGCATATGGCTACTCTCCCTGGTCAAGAAGCTACACCAGCACAAAGAGATCAGGGTAACGGCACAACTAAATGGGGTTAGAGGTCAGGGGTTAGGGTGGTGGTCAGAACTACAACCCAGCACAAAAGAAGCAGGGTACGGAACACTGGGGTTAGAGGTTAGGGGTTAGGGCTGGGGTCAAGAAACTACAACCACCCAAGAGAATCAGGGTACGGACACTGGGGGTTAGAGGTCAGGGGTTAGGGCTGGGGGTCAAGAAGCTACACCAGCACAAAGAGATCAGGGTACGGACACTGGGGGGTTAGGGTCATGGTTAGGGCGGGGGGTCCCATAAAGCTACACAGCAAAAGAGATCAGGGTACGGACACTGGGGGTTAGAGGTCAGGGGTTATGGCTGGGGGTCACGAAGACTACACCAGCACAAAGAGATCAGGGTAACGGACACTGGGGGGTGAGAGGGTTAGGGGTTAACAGTAAAGCTGGGGTCAAGAAACTACACCAGCACAAAGAGATCAGGGTACGGACACTGGGGGTTAGAGGTCAGGGGTTAGGGCTGGGGGTCAAGAAGCTACACCAGCACAAAGAGATCAGGGTACGGACACTGGGGGTTAGAGGTCAGGGGTTAGGGCTGGGGGTCAAGAAGCTACACCAGCACAAAGAGATCAGGGTACGGACACTGGGGGTTAGAGGTCAGGGGTTAGGGGTCAGACTGGATTGATAGATAACAGAGGAACGTGATGGGGAAGTCCTTGTGAGTTACTGACTGTATTTCACTTGTGTGTTCCTTTTGTCTGGTGTTCCAGTCTCACCTGAAGGAGATCCAGACGGCCTTCATCTCCATCCTGTCAGACCCTGATGGTGAGGCGATAACTCCATGATAACTCCATGATAATCTCCGTGAATACTCCATGATACTCCCAATTACTAAACGTTCTCCAACGATAACTCCGAAACTCCCGTGGATAACTCTTGATAACTCCTCCGATAACCTCTTCTGATACTCAAGGATAACTCAGTGATAACTCAGTGATAACTCCGTGATAACTCCGTGATAACTCCGTGATAACTCCGTGATAACTCCATGATAACTCCATGATAACTCAGTGTAGACAACTATAATAAGCTCAATGGGGTAACACAGTAGATCATATGACTGATGTCTGATTGTCTGAAGAATGGGGTAACACAGTAGATCATATGACTGATGTCTGATTGTCTGAAGAATGGGGTAACACAGTAGATCATATGACTGATGTCTGATTGTGTGAAGAAGAACATTCTTGTCTGAGGGTAAACGCAGTACATCCATTCGTCCATCTAAATACTGATCCATATATCCACCCACTTCTACACAAGAAACCGATCCAAAGGGCGTCGCACATTTGGCCATCGTCGTCCGGGTTTGGCCGTTGTAAGGCCGTCATTGTAAATAAGAAAACATTTTGTCCTTAACTGACTTGCCTATTTAAATAAAGGTAAAAAAATAAAAAATGTATGGTCCTTTTTCCTTTCTACCTCTCTCTCTCTCTCTCTCCTCCCCTGATCCCCCTCTTCTCTCTCTCTCTCCTCCCCTGATCCCCCTCTTCTCTCTCTTCCCTCCCCTGATCCCCCCCTTCTCTCTCTCCTCTTCCTCCCCTGATCCCCCTCTTCTTCTCTCTCTCTCTCTCCTCCCCTGATCCCCCTCTTCTCTCATCTCGCTCCTCCCCTGACCTCCCCCCCTCTTCTCTCTCTCTCTCCTCCTCACCCCCTATCTCCCCCCTCTTCTCTCTCCCTCATCCTCCTCCCCTTATACATCCCCTCTTCTCTCTGCTCAGATCAGCCCCTCACCATCACCTTCTCGCCCCTCTTCTATCTCTCTCTCGCTAAAGATCCCCCCTTCTCACCCCTTCGTCTGTCTCATCCTCGATCTCTCCTCTCCATACTCCACTTATTCCCCCTCTGAGCTCCCTCCCGCTTCTCTCTCCTCACCCGTTCCTCACCCCTCATCATTTCTCTCTCTCAACTCAATCATAACTACTACTCTCTGCATCGTCGCACATCTCCTGACCCTTCTCCTCCCCTCTTCGTCCTCTCGCTCATCCTCCCCTTAATCCACCCCCTCTTCTCTCTCTCTCTCTCTTTTCCCCTTTTCCCCCCCAAAAGATTTGATCAGGAGGAAAAACGGGGGTTTAAAAGTCTTTGGTCTTAAGTCCCTAATATCGGGGGAAAGGAGGGGGAGACCACAAACTGGTGCCCTACACTGGTCCAAAACACTAAATGACGGGCAAATTTAAATAGATGGAGGGGAAAGAAGGTTTGGAGGGGAAGTTTGGGGGGGGTGAGAAAAGGGTTTGGGGGTGGGATGGGAAGGAGGAGGGGGAAAAACCAAAAAACCCTTTTTGGTTGGGGTATAAAATGGGGGGGCTTTTCCCCGGCTTTTTTTCTATCCTTTCCTTTCTTTTTCTTCCCCCGGGTTATCTTTTTTTTCGGAGCCTCCTTCGGGTCTTTTTTCCCTCCCCCTTTTTTCATTTCTCTCTCTCCTTTGTCTTGTTCTCTCCCCCTTCTTTTTTCCCTCTCCCCATGGTTTCCCCTTTCCCTTTGGTTCTTGCTCCTTCTTTTTTTTTTCCTTCCCCTTTTTTTCCCCCTTTTTCTTTTTTCCACCGGGGCCGGCCCCTCCCCCTGGGGTTGCCCCCTTTCGTTTTTTTTTGGTAACCCTTTAGATCATGTGGTAAACTCCCCACATTTCCCTTTAGGGCTAAACAAAAAACATAATATTTTTTTAAAAAGGGATTCTCTTACCCCTTTCCCCAACTGATTTCAGGTCGTAATTTAATTTTTAGGCCCTTTAATGACGTTTGCCCGACCATATTTAAAAAGTAGTTTTTTAAAAGGGGTTTGTTTTACCTCTCGGGGTGAACCCTGGGGTGTCTGAGGACACTGAGGTTCCAGGGGATCTCGGGTAAACCCCCGCGGACACGGCCCTCTCCACCTACAGGGCCTTTTTCTCATTGGCCAGGGGACCTAAACCAACCAAATTTTCTCCCATTTCCTGAACCTAGCCAATCCCGGGGCCATGGGGGAACTCCCGCAAGGTACAACCAGGAAGTGAAAATGAGCTCATGTAATAATATGAATTGATAGGTTAAGAAAAACTAGGTCATGTATTAGAAACACATTCTTTTTCCCCCCCTTTTTTTGTCTTTGAACAACCCCGAAAAAAGGGGCACAATCCCTTTTGTTTTTTCCTTTATCAAAACCTGAAAATCCCCTTTTTGAAGAATATGTTTAAACCCCTAGATAACTTTCACTTTGGAGACTTGTTTGCCCCTTTTTAAACTTTTCAAACTCACTCAGTATTTTGTCACTATGGGGGACGCTCCCCCTCCCTCCTCCCCCCCGGCCCCCCTCCCCACTTTTTCCCCCCCTCCCTTTTCTCCCCCCTCCCCTCTCCCCTCCCTCCCCCCCTTCCCCTTCCCCCCCCCCCTCTCTTTTCCCTTCCCCTCTCTCCCCCTCCCCCCTCCTCTCCCCCCCCCCCTTTCCTCCCCCCGCCCCCCTCCCTCCCCTCCCTTCCCCCCCTCCCTCTCTCTCCCCCTCCCCCTCCCCTCCCCCTCCCCCCCTCCCTCTCTCCCTCCCCCCCCTTCCCCTTTCCCCCCCCCCCCCTTTCCCCCCCCCTCCCCCCCCCCTTTTCCCCCCCCCCCCTCCCCCCCCTCCCCCCCCTATTCTCCCCTCCTCCCTCCTCCCCCCCCCCTCCCCTAAAGGGAGCACGTTTGGTTAAACCCTCATAGCACAAAGGCAGGGGGAGCACTCGCCCCCTCCCGGCCCCACCTGGTACCCAACGCCAAAACCGCCCCATTTGACCCCAACCTGGGCATCAGGACGGCCATGACCTCCATCGGGGAAACCCTTTGGCCCTGACAAAAACCATGGTATCAGACACACGTACAGCCAAAAAAGGGCCCTTTGAAACCAGCTAACCTTGGGGGGACACAAAATTCGGGCCCATTCAAAATCCATTTTCCCAAACCCCCCAAACCCGTACTCTTACCCAAACCCTTTAAACCCCCAAACCCCCAAACCTTTTAAACCCTAGTTTCCTAACCCTAAAACTACCCCCAGCTCCTAACCCTTTTGTAATTCTAACCCCAACACTAACAAAAAGTCCCGTTTGGGCAAAATTTTTGTTATTTTACTATTCTGGGGGACTTCTGCCCCCCCACTTTCCCCCCGGGTTTTCCCCACAAAAGCAAGAGGCACACCTCCCCAGGGGATGGACAACCCACCACACTCCCCCCACCTTCAGACATACAAAACTCATGACTCGCATACTCACCCCTCTCCTCTCCTCCCTCCCTCCCTCTTCCCCCCTCCCTCCCTCCCCCCCCCCTCTCTCCTCCCCCCCTCTCCTCCCCCCCCCTCTTCCCCCCTCCCTCCCTCCCCCCCTCCCCCCTTTCCCCCCTCCCTCTCTCCCCCCCCCTCCCCCCTCCCCCCTCTCGCTCCCTCCTCCCTCCCCTCCCCTCCCCCCTCTCTCCCCCCTCCCCCCCCCCCTCCCCCTCCCCCTCCTCCCTCTCCCTCCCTCCCTCTCCCTCCCCCCTCTTTCCCCCCCCCTCTCCCCTCCCCCCCTCCCTCCCTTTCCCCCCCTCCCTCCCTCCCCCCCTCCTCCCTCCCCCCTCCCCCCCCCTCCCCCCCTCTCCTCCCTCCCTCTCCCCTTCCTCTCCTCCCCCCTCCCCCCCCCCTTCCTCTCCTCCCTCCCCTCTCTCCTCCCTCCCCCCCAGGTGGTAAATATCTGAAAGGGGATCCTCCAGATGTGATAAACTAACCTGACCATAAAACTGGAGGGGCCCGGGAAAACCCTGCCTCGCTCTAACGCCTCAAACCCAGGCCGCACGCCGATGATCTCATTGACCACCGGAGGCCCGGGAAAAAGCTGTTCAGGGGGGCTGGACGCCTAAAGGGTTAACACACCCCCCCCCCCCCCCCCCCCCAAAAAGCCCCATCCCTGGGCCTAGGAACTGTTTATTCAAATGTATTAAATTTTAAACTGGGGGGTTAGTGTGATGTCCCCATGTACCCTTTTAGCTTGGGGGATTAGGTTTATGTCAGATGGTATTTTGCTGGGGGTTGTGTGGGGTTTAATGTTTTTTATTCTAGGGGGGAGTTGTGTTTATGTCCCCATGTTTA